ATTGGTCCTCTCACGGTACTTATTCAATGCCCACACATGGGGCCTGGTGTCACAGACGCAAATGAGCGAGTGGGAAGCAGGGCTTCGGCCCATGTTGTATGCTCTTGCTCGTCCCTTCCTGCGTGGTCAACCTCCGTTCACCTTTGATGTTGAGATTCTATGCGGCTTATGCAACCTGCTTGCGCCAAGTGACATGTTGCATTTGGCTCGGCTACGCTATTTCAAGCGTCTGTTGCAGCACTGTCCGCCCATTCTGTGGCAGTTGCTTCATGCCACGGCCTTCCAGGCAGGCTCTTGGCTTGATCAGTTGCAGGTATCTTTTCATTGGTTGTGCCGTTTTAGCGGAGTGCATTTCGGCCTTTCAGGTACCACTCACATCTATGACTGGTGTAGTTTTGCTGCCATCGACACTCGATGGAAAGGGCGCCTTAGGCGGGCAGTGAACTCTTGCCGTAGGTATCGTGCCGAAAATGCCAAGCAGGCAGCTTGGGACGTATGGCTCCAGAACTCCTTGACCCGTGATGGAGTTCCTGTTTTTTCCCCCCAAATAAAAGCACAGCCTGTTCAGTGGCAGTGCCAGCTGTGTCTGGAGCAGTTTAACTCCCGCAGAGCCCTTGCACAACACGCGGTGAAAAAGCATGACTATGTAACATTAGTCAAGCATTATGCATTTGGCAGCACTTGTGCCAACTGCTGCAGAAGTTTTCACCACCGAGTTCGGCTTTGCTGTCATCTCCGCACATCAGTTGCATGTCTTGAACGCACAAGGGCTGCCTTCCCGCCGTTATCTGTTGATGCCATTCAGATGTTAGGTGCGGAAGATCGTTTGCATGCCAGAAAGATGCGTGATCAGGGATGGCTTGCCACGAAGGCCCAAACACCGGTCTTGCATGGTTTTGGACCTCCTTTGCCGCCTCCAGGCTCAGCTGAAGCCAACCTCATGTGGGGTAAGTGGGCTGCACGCACTGATTCCAGCTCTGCTCACGCGTTTGAGGGCCTGGATGGCATATGCATCGGGGCAGATCCCGTGGACCCTGTGCCCGTAGCACAGGAAGATTCTGCCACCATCTCTGTTGAAATGGCATTTGTGATGCATTCTGACCAAGGTGCTGAGCACGGGCATGCAGGTCGATTCTCCAATCGAGGCCTTGCAACTCTGTATGCGCGTTTGCATATTCGCACAATGTGTTTTATTCACTTCTTCTCAGGATTTCGTCGAGAAGGCGATTTGCAATCGCAAATTGAACAGCACTGGGTACAAGGTATTCATCACATTTTTTGCATTTCTATCGATTACTGCCTGCAAGGCAGCCAAGGTGATTTGTCGTCGACCAAGAGTTTGGCCTTCTGGAAAACCCAGGTATGCAACGGAGCGATCCTGGGGATGGGAGGGGGTCCCCCCTGTGAGACTTACTCGGCAGCCAGATTCTTGGAGGGGGGACCCCCCCCCCTGCGGTCTCATTCAGACTATTGTGGATTGCCGTCCAACTCCGCCAGACAGTGGGATCAGGTTGCTCTGGGAACCGCGTTGATGCGCTTTTTGCTAGAGATGATGTACTACTGTTCTTTGGCTGGGGCTTGCGGATTTTTGGAACATCCGGCTTTTCCAGTTTGGGCGATGAAACACTCCCCTGCAAGCACATGGACCCTTACTGCAGTCCGCCGGCTGCGGCGCCTTAACTGTGTGTCCATCGCAACATTTGATCAGTGCATTTTCCACTGCGAAGGGAAGAAGCCAACAACGTTACTTCTGGTGCGTTTGCCGCACCTGAGGGAGGCGCTCCTGAAGCTTGGCCGTGGTGGAAGATGCCCTCACGCCTCTGGTGCACACACTGCACTCAAAGGCCGTGGACCAGATGGATCGTTTCGCACTTCAGTTGCGAAAGTTTATCCACCACAGATGAATGCTGCGATTGCAGAGGCTGTAATTCATTTTGCATGTGCGACTTTTGTGCCGGGGGAACAGCAAAGCGCTGTTCCTGAGTGCGTCGCTCAGCATGCGCGCATGGATTTTGTGCCCTTGTCTGTAGTACAACCAGACTACTACGAGGGCTTGTAAAGTTGCGTCTTGCTATGCATGTTCCAAGCAAGAATCGACTTGCAGCAGTTCGAAAGGAAAAGGGAAAATCCACTATTTCTATGGCCATTTTCAATAGCTATGTTAAATTACCAGAGGGTAGTACATTAATGTGATGATAAATACTGGGGATAATGGTTGGTATATTGATAATCTGGTTGATGGGGATCATGGCAATGGTTGGGATATAACCCTCTGGTAAACGTTTACAAAAAGCGAACTGGAAAATCACCATTTTTTTATGGGTAAATCAACTATTTCTGTGGCCATGAATGGCCATGTTCAATAGCAAACTGTAAACGTTTCACAGAGGGTAAACGGTGTTGATAAATACTGCTTGATGGTTTGGATGAATTTGGGTGATTTGCCAACCATGAACTGGGATTCCTGGGAAAATGAATACCGGAACCGGTGGTTTTTCGCCCTCCTAAAGAAAATATGAGTGGGTCATTTCTTATTGATTCTCATCCCATCCATTTCCATGGTTCAACAAAAACATCTTCGTTTACTGCAGGTGCCATTTATGACTTGAAAATCCACAACCACCGGCCGATTTTGTTGTTGCCACCAGGATTTTAGGCTCTGGTTATGCAGCTGGAGATCATATGGGGCCCACATGGGGGTACCGGGGTACCCCACATCATCCAAAATTAGACGATTTTCGTCTTGAAACCCATGGTTTTGGGGTACCATGTTAGGAAACCTCGATATTTTCATGGCCAAAAGATGCCGAAAGTGCACATTTTAACTGAGACGCGGACCACTTGAACCATTGCTCAACCAGGCAAAAGCATTTCACCTGTGCAGAGAATACCAATTCCAGGATATCAATTTCAGTCATTTACCAATGGCAAACTACAAAGTGGGGCCCCCAAACGATAGCGTTCAGTTGGTTTATAACTTCAATTTCACTATGGTTTATGGTACCTATAACTATAGTATTCATGGGGTTTATAAACCAGGGCCCACATTGTAGGACATTGTGAGATCAAACCTCCGGGCCCCAAATCCATCCAACCTGACTTTTTTATTAGGAAACCAGATCATGGAACTGAGCTGCTGGAAACACCCTGGTGTAAGCAGGTCAGTAGAAAAGCCTGGCTTATGGCTCTCGCCTCGCTGTTTTGGGACCCCCACTACCGGGACCGCTATTCCTATAATCATAAAAATACCATCCACCAATCCTATATGCTCCTGTAAAGAAAAGACACATTTATATACCCCCAAAATGACCCAAATGTAGCTACATACCCTCTGGTAATTTTAACATATATATATATATATATAGCCCATAGCTATGCAAAATCACCATGTTTGACAGGTAAATCATCCTATCAATGGGTCATATTCCAGTTCGTAAACTATTTTTTATGGACTTTTGTCATCGCCCAGTCACCACATAGTCCAAAGGAAGGTCCTTTCCTTGGCGTTTCAGCAGATACACTGCCCAAAGCATGGCGAGCCAAAAGGTCAGCAGCACTCGCCCGAGTCGTCGCACGTAGAACCCCAGCAGCGGCACTGCTCCGTCGATGTTGGTGGCCGCACTGGTCCAGTGGGTTACGAAGCCACTGGTTAACACGAAAAAGCAAACCGCCACCTGGGTTGATCCGAGGTCATCTGGAAAAAAGGTGAAAGGTGGAAAAAAATGGCCAAACATGCGAAGATTCAGCAGCCAACAAACAGTATAATATTGAAAAACTAAATATATACACCATTAAAAAAAATATGTATATATATATATATATATAAAGTGGAGTGATATATTTGGGCTGCGCGTCACATCAGAATCATCACATTTTGATTACGGACCTATTCACCAACTGAAACATACTGGTACAATCGTCCCAGCCGATGAAACAGATCTCAATATATGAACATATCATCCCGTTTCTTGGGATGTTAAAAGGACAAAATATCCAAATAAATAAATATATTTAAAAAAAACAAAACATAAAATATGTGTTCAAGCCCAGCCACATTGACCCGATAATAAGCACGGCAACTCAACGACCAGCCATCCTCCTCAATCTCCTCCCGCGGCGTGTAGTGAGCACAAACGATCCAAAAAGCTGCCAGACATCGTGCGCCATTCAGATGCTCGAAACGGGAGGGTCGTTGCTGTCGTTGCTGTCGTTGCTCCTCGACTGGGCAGTCTTTTTTATTCAAAAAAATATTATGTAAGCTTATATATATGTATATATAACATACCAACATGTATAAACATATGTGCATTGTGTATCAATATATACATATATATGTATAATATATAGTTACACAATGTTATACATATAATCAAAAAACTCACCCCGAATCCAACCCAGGTTGCCTCATCTTTCGGGCTGGACATGGAACGCTGATCTGCTGGATGCATGGCAGGTCTCTTGCGGATGAATTCTGGGGAAATTGTCAGGCTGAAATTCTGGGCCATATGATGGTTTCCTAGGGCTACCCACAAATCATCCACAAATCATCCATTTTGGGCTAGGATTTTTCCATGGATTTTCCAGCTATTGGGGTAGCTTTCTATATTTTAGGAAACCTCCATTAATTGGGAGAGTTACCCCTGCGAACCATCCAGTGACATCGGTACAGGTGGATGGTCCGGGCAATTTTGAGCCATATCCAGTTCGATTGCTAAACAAAAAATGATCCCCCTAGTTGGTGGTTACCCTCCAGCAATCTAACATATAGCTACGGAAATCCATGGTTTTCCTGTTCGGAAATCCACAAACGGTGGATGTTCCAGTGGTTAAAACCTACTAAAAACCTATCACTTGATGGCTGCTAGTAGCAATGGTTGCCAAGTTTGTTAGCTCCCAACCTGGAGGGCGTTCCAAACAATTGTGAAAATGATTGGCCACGACAAGGTCACCTCCCTATGGCTTTGCCACTTCCTTTCCACCAGAGCTTGCCACTCTTTTTTCAACTGCAATAAGTAGTGAAAGTTCCAGACTCGTCAACCAGCCCCAAATGCGAAGTTTTGCATTCGAGGGCACTGCAGCTGTACCAGCCGGCCGACTATAAAGTAGCTGTCTGGCCAAAAGATCCATCTTAGTGGGCTTCCAAAAGCACCACATCTTCAAACACCATGATTATTCCAGCCTTGCCACATCTTGTGGCCAAAGAAAACTATTGCAAACTGGGTACATACCGACTTTAAGATCTGAGTTTTGAAGCAAAAAATTGCACAGTAACAAGGAGTCCCTCACTTCACGCAAATGGTCTTTACATTCACGAACCTTGGCTGGTGCTGCCCGCCCAAGTATCCGAGTATCCCCACCAAGCTCGATTCTTGAAGTTTGCAAAAATGATTCAACATACTCTCCGGAAATTTAACATAGCTATTGAATAAGCCATTTGTAGTTGATTTGCCTACTCAAACTAGTGATTTTCTACAGTTGTGTTAGTTTACCAGAGGGTATCCAACATCACCCAAATCGCTCTCAGATTCCTAACATCCCGAAGTCTATTGGTCAAACTCCCCAGTGTTATTACAGTAGTCATTTACTCGCAAAAACTAATGGCGAGTATCCCTCCATATCACCATATAATCATATATAGAAACATATATAAACCCATTCAACCATTTATATATCTATTACCTTTCATCTTAGGTTTTGAACTCATAAATCATAAACGTGCCACTGCGCAGAATTCACACAAGGTGGTGCCCCCAGATATAAGTTGGAGGGTAAACCCCCAATAACTATATATAGTTAGACTGGTAGTATGTTATAGTTATTATCCCAATAAACATTCATGAACTCTAGTCTACTAGTTACAAGTGTATATATATATATATGGTTATAAACCAACTCAGCGACTGAGACGGGGGTACCACCATGCAATCATCAACCATCATTTCCGAAGAATATCACCATCCATCTAGATGCATTTTCAATGATTTTCCCAACTAAACCGTATCCTCCATTTATGAAATCAGAGGATGAGGGAGATCCCAAAAAATCATATGAAATCCATATTAAATCATATGAAATCAAAAGTATTTTCCAGCTCCAAAAAACCACAGCGCTGCACCAAGCTGCTCCAGCATCCCGAAGGCCGCGCACTCACGGCCCAGGCCCGACGCCTTCACGCCGCCGAAGGGCAGTGATGGGTCGCTGCGCACGAAGTCGTTCACGAAGCACATCCCGGCCTTAAAAAACCAACGGCAGCCATGGGGGCCCAGGGGGGACTATGGTGGACTCGGCCTGCGAAAACTATATGAAAAAAAGAGACTGATGGAAGATGATGTAAGTCTACATACGTGACTACCCAACAAAAAATATGCAAAAACATGTGCTTGAAGTGGTGGGTGTAGCGGTTTTCACCGAAAAAAACATGAGGATTTCAGCGACAAAATCACTGGAAGGTGATGTTTCTGATATTTTCGTGATTTTCAGGTGATTTGGCGAAAATTAAAATTTTCAAGCAGAAAGGATGCAAAGAGGAGGAACTGGACGGGACTTAGTAGCATCCCTTGGTAGGGGAAATCTTCAACTCTGAAAATACCCAAGGATGGGCCATTCAGAATCCGTGCCCAGTCGAGATCATACCCCAACATTCTATGGGTGAAAGTGTTTTTTTGGCTGGTCATTCTCATGTATGTTGTCTTTTCAACAGTAGCTTCTGGGGAACTTGAGCTTGAAAATGAGCTCCTCCCAAAATAAAAAAAAATCACGGCATGGTATATGGATGTATAGTGATGTATATGGCTACAATGTGGGGCCCCCCAGTTATAAGTTGGTTTATAAGCCCCAGTAACTATAGTTATAAGTATATACCATAAACCATAGTTATTGGAGTTATAAACCAACTTAGCTATCTAGGGGGCCCCACTTTGTACTTATCATATCTTATCATCAGTTTCCCGTCGATGCGTTTCCCACACCCAATTCCGATTAGAGCCTCACCTCAAGGTCCTTGACAGCCATGCGCTGGCCCTGGGACATTGATCACAAGTGGAAATTTGGATCTCAAATGGATTGGGTTTGAAGGGAAAATCTACACAGTTATTCATGTTTTCTGCAAAGAAAAACACATCAACAAATCCTGCTGGTGCAACCTGTCCAGGTCCATCTATGGATGGTTTTTCATGGTGTTTCAGTAATTTTTCCATGTGTTCAGTGTTGATTCCGAAATCTAAATGGGCGGACCCGTGATACTACATGTCAAAACCCTCAATTTCAACAGTGACTAAATCCAATGAACAAAGCTATGGGTCAACATTTAAATTTGGCAACAATTACATTTACACTCCAGTAAACTAGCATAGCTATAGAAATCCATTGGTTTTCTAGAAACATGATCAAACAGTTGTAGATGTTCAATAGCTGTTGGTTTGGAGGGTATAGCCTGTGACAGTATATTCCTACTACGTTCCCAGAGATCGTTGGTTAAATCCCCAAATAGACAGTATTTCCCATAGATGATTGATTAAACCCCCAAAGAAATCAAAGAATATGTTTTAAATCACCAGCATAACAATTCCCAAAAAAAAACAAAGCACTTTCCATGACCTTGCCGCCTGCCCCTGCCTTCTCCAGATCGCGCGTGAACACCGCCCCAGCCAGGCCATACTTGGTTTGGTTCGCCAAACGAATCACTTCAGCTTCGTCTTCTGCCTGGTTGAGCCCCTGAAAATCCAGTGGAATCCTACCATTCCATCCATGGTTAATGAATTGAGGCTTAAGGACAAATTTACCGTTGAAACTTGAAACTATAATTTTTCACCCCCCCCAAAGTTCGGGAGGTGAAGAAGTTCGGGGATGAAGGTGTTTTTTTGAAACATGTTGAAACCCTGGTTCTTACCCCCATAAAAACAGGGTTCCCTGTCCCAGTTCCATCCAGTTCCTGTGTTTTTGAACCGTCCTTGGGTGAATCTTCCCAACATGAATTTCCAACGTAGACCATATCACCAGACAAATTTTGAACCGCCTAGATCCTTCAAGATTTTTCCATATCCAAAATGATCCAACAAAATGACTATTAATATTCAAATAAATCCACCAGTTGTACAGAGTTTTTGTTCCTTCTTTTAAAACAAATGTAGCTACTTCTGTCCATTCCATTTCCAGTTGCTATCAAAAAATCCTATTCAAATAAATGTCCCCGGTTTTTCCTAGCCCTTTTCCTTTTGTCTTCATGTGTTCTTGGCCATTCCCATAAAATATTCGCCTCGATGATCGCGATCACCGGTCCGAAGATTTCGTGCTCGAAGCAAGTCATGCCGGGCTGCACGTCGGTGAGCACCGTGGGCGGAAAGAAGGACCTTGCGGAGCGATGGATTTCAAAGCGTGGATCTGATGGGTGTATTTCATTGAGAAAATCCTATGAAAATCCTACGGAATTTCATGAAATTTGAAAATCCTGTGGAAATAGGAATATAATGCGAGAACATCCTGTATAAATTTATGTGGGAGGATAAATGAGGATATCATGCGCAAATCCGATCTAAATGGGAATATAAATGGGGGATAAAATGAGAACATTAGGTGACATGTTGATACTCGTGAGGGTATTTCCACTGCCCTCTGTGGGAATCATCTATATATATTTTATGGGATATTGACGGGACCATCATATATATATACACGTATACATGGGGATATGATATACACTAATAGGGCTATTGATGAAGATATTGTGTGATATATTGGGAGTTTATCCAACAAAATATGGAATAGTCAGAAAAAAGGGAATGTGTAAACATACGTAGTTCTATCAGCAGAAATCGGTATTACAATGGGGATCAGTCGGATAAGTAATGGTATATCATACTGGGGTTAACAATCGAAAAATAGTGGTATAACCAATAACGGTACTATAATAGGGATACAATGGGATTAGTATACACAACCAAACGACATTTGCGGTATATGGGTGTGCCTGAAATGGGTGATCTCGCCAATTCATGCAATTTTTGTAGGGAACATCATCAGATTCGTCAGTGCATGGAATGAGGTACCCAATTCTCAGACCAGTTGGTGGATTCTTCCCCCATGAACCACAAAGGATAATCATGGTTTTTTATCTGTTTCAGCAAGAACATTGGTGATTCACTGATATGTTCATTATATCCCAAGATATTCCCATGATTACATCATATGTGCCATGGCCAAAACACTGTGTATGTATATATATTGGTTATGGTCATCCATCCCATATTGAGGATCGTTAAGCTGGGTATAACAAATCCTATTAATGATTAATTCCTTGATAATAACCATCTCCTTCTATTGGAAAACATACCATGTTCTCACCATGGCACCTATAATCTGTTTCAGGAGGAAACTGGGTGATTCAGACTGATATGTTCATTCCCCCATGATATTCCCATGATATTCCCAGGATATTCCCATGCCGCGCGACTTGCCGCAATCGTCGCTAGGTTTGGCCACCTCCGGGCCGCCATGCAGCAGCCGAGCGCCCTCGGCCATCGAATCCCTGACCTGTTTGGCCACCTGGTCCCGACCAATGGGATGCACCAAGGGACCATAGTCCACGCCATACCTAGGACCGGTTGGGTAGTTGGCTGGTTGAATTCAAAGAAAACAATGGCAGTGAAAAGGTGCCCCGCAGTTGGTATATAAATCTATCTAGTTGTGAATATAAATGATGTATTTGATGTCCATAAATTCGAGTTATAAGAGCCCCATATAAGCCAACTTGGCTAGGTAGGGAGCCCCACCGTGAGCCCTACTCTCCCTGGTTAATGTTACTTATCAAACCGGGTAATTCTGTAACTATCTTCAACCCATAAAAACCACAGCCATCCCCGCCATCTTCGTAAAACGCGCCGAGTTTCTGTTTCGCCTTCACCCTTTCCAGCACAAGCTCCTCGAAGGCGGCCTGACATGGTGATGACTGGGGGATGGTAAACATGACATTGTTTTAGCAACATTAGTATGGTTAATGTAATATCATTGAACAATTTCTGCAGTTTCTGGCAGTTGGAGGTATAGTGCCATAGTACCATAGTTTCATATTGATGATTTGAACATTCAGAAAGGATACTTGGAGGTATAGTACCATATTTGGGACTATATACAAATCCATCCCCAACCCATCAACCCTCCCAATTCCCAACACTGCCTTCACAGTGTAGAAACGTCGCTCTTTTTCTCCATGTTTCTCCCCATTTCATCATCGCGCCTTGACCTGTTTCTCCACGATGACCCGCTTGGGCGCGATGCAGGTCTGCCCGCTGTTCGCAACCCGTGCGTCCACCACCGCGGCGGCGGCTTGTGCCAGGTCGCAGTCAGCCAAGATGGCGTAGGCATCGGAGCCACCCAACTCCACCACGGCCTGACTGTGCTGAACCGTTAAAGGGGACCTTTAAAGGGAGCCAAGCTGCTGAATATGAATTATATAGGGGACCCAGCCTTCCGTGAAAGAGTAATGTATATTATATATATACATGCATATGTACGACAGTGTTGTAGGTATCTTGGTCTTATCCCATCCCTAAGTTGTCTTCTGTTTTCTTTTTCAAAGAACAAGTTATATCTCATTAATAAAGTTTTTCCATGGTGATGGGCAAAAGCTGGTATTGGCCTCTCTTTGGCCACGTTCATCCATCAACATTCACCAGTGCCCATCCCGTGCCGCACCTTCTTCAACAAGGACCCAGCTTTGGCCGCCACAGCGCGCCCGGCCACTTCTGAGCCGGTCAATGCTACACCTGCTGGGAGGTGCTAAGAATGTGGATTAACCAATGGGATTTAACCAATGGAATTTATAAATTCATGAATTTATAATGGAAATACCATGGGATTAACTAGGAGCATGATTAACCAACTGGTGCCCTCTGGTGATTTGACATGGCTACGGAGGCTAAAGAAGAAGCCTTGGCCCATTTATAGTTCTGTGACTTACCAGAGCTATGTTTAACTACCGGAGGGTACTTATAAGTTGGTTTATTCACCCGCAAGCTATACACCCGGCCTAGTTAGTCTAGTTATGTTCACCAACTTTGCCAACTATGGGGCGCTGTGTATAAATGAGCTGTAAATTTTAAATGATGTCCATTGAAATTCCATAGAAATCAACACAAATTTTCACACATTTCATCCGCACTCCCACCAACACCAAGTGCCACACCTTGCACCAGGGGGTGCTCGAGAACCTGATGGATCTCTGGGACATCGACGATCAAAGAGCGAAATAAGCCCTCTGGCAGCTCCAGCTGTTTCAGCAGCTCCTGCCGGGCCCATCTGGTTGTTGAAAGGGATGGTAACATCAAGGCTACCACCAGTAGTCATGGTTTTAGCGACTTTTGGCAAAAACTGGATGTCTTGAATTAACCTGATAGGCTTTGAAGCCAAACTTTAGTCATCCAACTGAACGCCCTGATATTTTACTAAAACTTGACGGTACCGTTGCTATTTCCTTGGCAAAACTAAATAAAACTAATATGTGAATGGAAAAGATGGGCTGTTCACTGACAATGAGCCATGGCTTACACCGCCATCACTGGAAAACGGACGTTGGTTGCTTTGGAATCTCCCCATATTCCCAAGACAGGATGATCAACTGGCCATCTCGTAACATCGCAGGTCGGTCTCAATTTCAATGCACAGCCAACTGTCACGGAATAGGGGTGATGAACCTCCGTCTGCCACTGATTTTGCTGTGAAAACCCATTGAAAACCACAGGTTTTGACCAATTTTGGACCCCTTCCCAGGCCCAGCGCCGCTGCCCAACTCGCACCTCGCAGAAGAGGCCGCTGCCGAAGCAGTTGTGCGCGTGCTTCAGCAGCACCGCATTGCCGGCCATCAGGGTGGGGATTCCCATCCTGATCACCTGCCACATGGGGAAGTTCCAGGGCATAATGGCCAGGATCAAACCTGCAGAAGGGAAGGCCACAATGTGGTGCCCCCGAACGATAGTTAAGTTGGTTTATAACGCCAATAACTGTGGTTTATGGTACTTATAACTATAGTTAATGGGGTTTATAAATTAATTTATAACTAGGGGGCACCACATTGCAAGGTCTGAGCAATGGACATAAGATGAAATTTTATGGGATTTACAATGGGATTTTCCGGGGGGATATTATATTTTAAAATAGTGGAAATTATGGACATATTATATATGAATGGGATTATTGGTGGGGATATGACGTTGTATGTATATTTACAAGTAATCAATTATATACATATCAAACCAGCAAATATGATATTTGGCACCCGAAAGAACCAGGGAAAAAAAGAAAACTGGTTGATTAAACCCAGTATTAATTTTCATGGGAAATTCACTCAAATCGACACTGGTTGGCTAGTAGTCTAGTTTTTAGATATGCCACAGGTTTTACTGGGGAAATTCCAAGTCTGGGTTAAAGCAATCTCCAACAGATAAAGAGGTGATAGGGCTCAACGTGTCGACGAGTTGCATACAAAACAGTGGGCTGAGCGTTGCATCTCCGACGAAAAAATGTTGTCTCATTGTTCCTGGTTCTTCAGTCATCAGATTTTTCTCATTCTCTGGGGGTCAAAACTATGTTGATAGAATTTCAGTAATAAACCCCCAGCCTCTCCCCACCAGCATACTAATATAGAAACCAAACAAATGGCTTGGAACATGAGTTTCCTCTTGGAAAGTGGATAGTTAGTGTCAAACGCTGGTAAAGATGGCAAAATACGGTCAGAACTCTGTGTGGAAGCATAAACTAACATGGGGGGGTTCTTAAAATGGGGGATCAACAAAACCATGGGTTTTAATACTGTAAAATGCTCCAATTTGGATGATTTGGGGGTGCCGCAATTTTAGGAATCCTCCAAGACATAGTTGCCCCACAATACTTTTGAGACAAAAAAGTTGAGCCATTTGCAAAGACACAATTGCACCATCCCACACAATTATCCAAGGAACCCAAGGGCTGGTAGGTGACAAAAGACTTGCTGAAACCAGGTAATGCAGGATATTCTGTATCTTTCAGGAATTCAGCACCATGCTTTGCGTACCAATCGACCTCAAAATGTCAGAGCCGAATCCCTGAGGAAACAAATGGATGATCCTCCCACCGCTCGACTGGTCAAGAACCGCTTCGTGTTTGCCATTTGAGCAGGGTGAACATAACCAGTGGATCAACGAAAGAACATGCGGATACCAGTGTTACCCTCTGGTAAACTAACATAACTACGGAAAATCACCATTTTCAATGGGTAAATCCACTATAAATGTGCCATTTTCAATAGCTATGTTAAATTACCAGAGGGTACTCCCTTGGCCAAAATGCAACCACCAGTAACCACAAGTACCAATGCCACTTCTCCAACGCAAAATTTCAGTTGCTGAGATCCACCTATTGTTGACATTTTGGGTGGTGAAATCCCAATGTTGCTTGGTCGTCTCCCGGGTCATTGCTAGTCAATCACGGTCAAAAAAATACCAGATCATTTGTTGCTTACTGTAATTTTTCTGTACACGCCCGTTGCTGATTCTCTCGCCCATCAATTAGATATTCTTGGTTGTATCTGGCTCTGTCCCCTTCCCATCATCATGTGTTTTGAACTTACTTGTGCTAAACGTAGGGAATTTTCGGGAATGATCCACTGGCTAACTATCAATAATCATCCCAGCAACCCCCAGCAACCCATCCATTCCCATCCATTCCCTACTAAGCACCAGTAAGTTAATGGATGTGAATAAACCCCAAATATTTTATGGTCATACTATGGCTACTATGGTAGATATAAAATAGACATCACTATAGTCATAGGGCAGTCAGTTAATCTCAGTTCCAATCCCTTTGCCGGAACGCCATCCTATCAGATCCTATCAGATCCTATCAGATCCTATCAGATCCTATCATCCATCTGGATGCCAGGAATATCATCCGATATCTGTACCGCCGAAGCACCCAACTATCCATTGACATATGTATATCTATATCTGTATAATGTGTATGTATAGATATATATATATATATGTATGTATGATATATATATATATGTATGATATATATATATATGATTTATATATATATAATATGTATAATATACATATGAGCAATCTCGAAAACCCTAGGTTCACGGAAAGGACATCCACAAATTTGGGAAGGTCCCATCGCTTACCACACGTTTGTACAATATTGATATATGGTAAACTTGGGGGGTATCGCTTGCAGGAAACTACTACATTTTTTGTATATAATTCACAGAAATCAACGTCCAATTTGGGTATCGCTAATGTGGATATTAGAGAAATACAATGACATAACCTTGAAAAGGGGTATCGTTAATTTGGGATACTGTATTAATTTCCATCAATTTCCATAAACCAATGTCCGTCCAATACATATTTAGTATTGCCGGGTTTTTTGCGGTGGCTCATATATATATATATATTTATATATGTCTGTGGTTTTCCCATCGATGACTTGGTACTTGGCAAAACCTTGCATTAAATCGCACATTCATGTGGACCACATGGACAATGTCGCCAAACCAATCATCACCCATCACAAGACCATCACCATGCCACTACCAGTGCATACATCCCGTTTGTAATTATTCTATTGGCTGAAAGTCTGAGTTTGATTCATTACGATTCATTACAATCACATATGTTAATTGTTCTTGAAAACCCTGAGATCAACCAGAATTCTTATCACCAACAAATTTGTCATGATATATTTCTTTGTACCTTAAAAGATACAAAATATAAACTAAACACCACCGAGACACCAAATAGGCGCATTTCAACACCTCCGCCTTTCCTTGTGCTACAGGTTTTCCCATCTCTTGACACATCAGCTCTGCAGCCTGCGAGGGAGTGGCTCTCTCGCTTGTCAACAACCTGAGATTGTTAAGAAATTGCCTGTGTATTTCTTATTGATTAAGAACACGTTTGCGCATTTGTTTGTTTACATGTTTTTTGTTGGAAAAATGGCCTGTATATGTTCCGTTTTGTTTTCTTCTTACAGCCGTAAAGTTTAGTAAAGGCCGCAGGCTTCAACCAACAATGGAGGTGCAATGGAGAGGATGCCTTCATTTCCTCTCCACGACAGAGGCGCACCCACATTTTTGATGCTTGACTCCGAATTCATCACCACAAAAATCTCCCATTTTTCACATATTAAACATTAGATTTCATTAGATCATTTAAAAAAATTAGATGATTTCCCATATTAGATGATTTTCCATTCATTAAAAATTAGATCAATCAAAATTTAAAATCAGATGTTTCCCGAAAACATTGATCTTATTTTTCCTGTAATTACTCACCATGTTTTTCCCATCAAATCCCGCTGAAAAAAACCATCGCCTCATCGGCTCGTTGACGTAACAACTCCGCCAAGGGTGCCAGTCGCTTTACCCGCTGCGCTGCGGGAATCTGGCGCCACTCCTGGAGGATCACAGAAAAATGATAGGGATTTCATAGATTTATGGGGATTTATGAGGTTTTAATGGGAATATATGGGAAATACATGGAAACTATGGTGATTTATGGGAAATATATGATGTTTTGAAAGGATACCCTCTGGTAAACATACAAAAAGCTATGGAAGCCATGGCCCAGTTATAGTTGATTTAGCCATTTAAAATTGTGATTTTCCATAGCTATGTTAGTCATAACCAGAGGGTATGTCCATTTATCCATTTATCGCAGGAATCTCTAGGATCTTTTTTAGGAGTAATTAATTATCTAGAAATGATTAGAAATGTCTAGGAGTATCGAGTAATATCTGGCATATCGATGAATATTGGGATGTTTTTTTGGAATGTAATAGATAGTTCCTGCTTAGAAGTGCAACCCAGTTACCTACCGGCCCGTTGCGATCGATGGTTTGCCTATCAAAATGATGATTTTCAATAGCCAATAGCCATGTTATATTACCAGGGTACATATCCAGTTGTCCATTGCGATACATATCGGTTCATATATAAGATTAGGATTAAATTTTAAACCAGGAAGTTACCAATATTATTGGTCACTTCCGTGTGTTGGTTGGTCGTTTCTGCATGTTTATATTGTTTTTTGTCCCTGTGTTTCTTGGTCAAACCCACCAAAACAAAAATTAAAACAAACACATAGAACAGATGATACTTCATCTCCAACTGTAATTAGTTCACAACCCTTCACCTCCCCCATTTCCGTAGAACCCGCTTGACCCTCCTGAAATGCGTTTTGGGTTTTCTGGATGATCTGCTTCACCTTCTCATCACTCCTGAGCGCTCCCAGGCACTTGGGTTTGTGGCTCAAAATCCGTCGAAACTGTGGAAACATGCTGAAAACCATCCGGAAAAAAATAAAATTCAATGGATTTCGTCACCACGCCTGAATGAAATTGAATTGGTTTCGCTACCCTAAAAAATCTCTGCAAAATCATCGCCATGCCGCACGAAGATATGCCAAAACAGTGGTTGGTTTCATGGGAAACCGACCTCCTCAAATGGAACGAAAAATTACCCATTGTCGTTATTGAATGCTTCAGCCCCCCGTTCACCAACATCAGGGAAAGGACAACCTGATTGTATTGGAACAAATCAGCATCCTGATATCTTCGGTGACTTGGGGTTGCCCGAATCCTAACCAGCATGTGTATAGCGCCAATGAGATCGTTTGAATTCACCACCCAGATCTAAAGCCAAGTTTGGATTCCCTGAAAACACCAAAAAAGGTAGTGTTTGTTTCTTGCTTGGCTGGTCAGTGCAGGGACCCATATTCTTGAAAATCAATAATATATGTATATATATATATTGTATATCATGTAAGAAAACTTAATAGCATTCAATCTGGCATAATAAAAGTTAACTGAAAACACTAAGATATAATAGAATATAGCAAATAAGAATTTTATGTAATACAATATACAGCAATAAAACGAAAAAGATGTAATATAATGGGGTGGAATATAGTAAGTTAAAACTAACACGACAGAAAGGAAAGGAAAAAAAAGAATAGAATAGCATAGCATCGAGTAGCATAGGCTAGAACAGAACAGAATAGAATCAAGCCGGGCAGAGTAAAATAGAATACAAAGAATACAATAAAAAAGGGTACAACAAAATACACTACAATAACACCTTTTGGCCCATTTCACCAGCCCCTAAAGCACATGACATGAATTCTCAACTAAATACATCGGAAGATAAAAAACATATTGAAGAGCGGTTTTGACCCCGGGTCACCCTTTGGCCCATTTCACTAGCCCCCAGAGCACATGACATGAGCCCACAACTTTCTAGATGCAAAGATTCAGCTAAGGGCCTAACGGTTTTCTGTCATTCCATCAAAAGCATTCCACAAGACAGAGTTGAGAGCTCATCTCATTTTTTTTGTGCTGTAGGGAGGAAAACCTACTATAATAATGTTGTCTGACCAATAGTGATATCTTGTCAATAGTAGAAACATTTTTCCGCAACTCCAATTTTTCTCCAATACTAAAAGTCAATTAGCTCCATTTACTTTTTTGTATTGCCAAAAGAGTCATGTTCAGACCTTGTCCAGAGGGCATGGCCAATAGTGGACCCAACATGGCAATAGTGGAAATTGTTTTCCCAACTCCATTTTTTTCTCCAATACTAAAAGTCAATTAGCTCCATTCACTTTTAGTATTGCCAAAAGAGTCAAGTAAAGCAAATCCTTTTCAAAGCGGCCTTCACTTTTGATTAGCAAAAGCCTAGATTCCAGAAATCTGATCCCATTCCAAAACAGGTGATTACCTTATTAAATTCTTATATAAAAATTGAAGAAAACAGGCCCACAAAGGGTACCCCCTTTGCAAGCCCCAGAATAGCAATAACAAACCTGCACCAAGCATGGCAATAGTGGAGACTTTTTTCCGCAACTCCAATTTTGTTGTCCTCCTTCTCCTTCTCCTTCTCCTTCTTCTCCTTCTTCTCCTCCTCCTCCTCGTCCTCCTCCTTCGCCTCCACCACCTCTGCCCCCACTTCCATGTCCACTTCCGCCTTGCCAACTCTTCGCCAATCTCTTCGCCACTCGAGAATCTATCAGATACAGTACATATCATGATCCCAGCCATAAGGTTCCAAAAAATTACTATTGGAATGCTGACCCCCCTAAATTTTCTAAAATAATTATTTTATTTAGGGGGGTTTACTACTAGGCAGCCTACATTGTGTATATAAAAATATACACACATAATATCTAGCAAAAGATTCGTTAGTACGAAAGTAGCCGTCCAAGATTAGCACCAGGATCTCTGCTTTACCACACCAGCCGTAGCCAAGGAACATCGCTTCGTAGACTTGGAAAGTCTCACCAGTACGAGGATTGATCTGGGGAAACCTCAGCGGGAAAACTCATCAATGGCTACCCCCTACAACTAAAGGTGGTTTTCCCCAGTTCTGTGGTTTATAAGATTTTATAAACACCAGAATACTATAGAATACTCTAGATTAATATGTGTATCATAAAGCCAAGTTATATTTTTGTTATGTTCACCAACTTCGCGATTTGCCTCGGGGCACCAACTTCTAGGAGCCCCATGAGGGGGTCTGGAATGTCCGACATGTCCGACGATTCAATACGCTCCTCCCATTTGACGCAGATGGTAGCGGAGCAACCAACGACTTTTAGGTATTCATAACCAATGGCAAATTGGTATATTAATGTATAGCCATTATAGCCATCAACACATATCAACACCCCATTTGAGTTCATTTACATAAAAAAAATATCATCCTAAAAATCGTTAATCCCATTTACAACCACATCTAAGTATGCCCTTATGAAGTGGTCAAGGATATCACCATATCACCATCCCCCAACCAACAAATCGGCCATGGATTGGGTGTATTGACATCGCATTCGCAGCCCCAATCACTTTGCCGCAACTAAGGGAAACCCACATACCCCCGTGAAATATCATGAAAAATCATTAAGTCAGCCAATCCAAACCATCCGTGATCAGTGACATGTAGGTCGCTGTATTCCGCGCTGCCACCAGCGCAGCTCTGCGCGGAAAACGTTGTCGCGCCAGCCCCGCGAGCGGTTTCGCGCATCGCAAGGAGTTCATGGTGAAGGACGAGACGAGACTGGTGGGGTACCGCCAAAGTTAATCGTCTTTGGGACCCAACTATCCCACTTCTGAGGGTCAAATCATTGATGTTGCAAAGAGGATGAATCTAAAGTCCATGGTTCTCAAAACACAGGTGCAAATCATTGTTGTGTACATCTTCCTAGATCCTGCACACAACTTGTGGAGAACTTCTATGGATGGACCTACATCACTCATAGAATCCATCTAAGTGTTGGGTCAGAACCATCCACTTGGGAGACAAAATCAGGTTGTTCTTCAGGTGGCTACTGTTGTTCGACGTTCATGTGCCACCATTCTTCCTAAAGCATATCTGAGCCACAAAGTACCGGAATCCCTGAAGTGTCCACACCTTCAAAGATGTTCCAAGATTGGAATCTGGCATGGACTTCTGCATGGCATCACATGTTTTTCTGGCTGATTCGCCCTGGCTATGTTCAGGGCATTGTCTTTTTTTCGATGTCATCTGATGCTTCCAGGATGAACCCTGGCTGGATCAACTCCCCGTTTCTTCCTAAAAGCCATTGCTTCTGTTGGTTTTGCCCACTCAACTACAACATACATCCATCATTGTTATGTTATTCTGTATGTAATTATGATATGCTCTTGTCATGGACACTAAGACACCAAGCTTGTTGGATCTTGTTGGTCTATCCACACAACTCCCCAGCGTCCCTGTTGTCCATTCTTCGCGTGCGTCATTCGCGTACGTCATTGGCGAATCCCTGTGGCTTCACTCAGAGAGTAGCCGGTTCCACTGCCGGGGTGACCTGCAAAAACAGTGGGGTTTCCTTGGCCGTGTTCAAAAAGAGGATTGATATGGATTGACGATTCATCTGACAATCAACCTGGAACCATCTTAAATATATTATATATTATATATATAATATAATATAATATAATAGAATATAATATAATATAATATAATATAGTATAATATAATCTAATATAATATATAATATAATATATATGTATATATATATAATATGGATTTGCAAGGGATGCCATGGCAATACATGACACAGCATTGCCGTTTTGCACTTCAAAATGCGTGGCTCTTCATCCTTGGGAGACACTGCCTTCACAAAGCCACGGATGGTCCTTTAAAGATCTTATAGCAATAAAGGAACCTTTAAAAAAGATGCAGACAACTCGTAGATCCATGTCCAAATGAGTGGTAAACAACTTTCTCACACTCAGAATTCATTTATTTACAAATAGAACCCTACCATATCCTACTATATGTGCACCGTAGTTTTAGTTTTACCCACTTCATCCCCTTTTCTGCATCGCGAAACCGGAACCAGCCTTGGGAGGAGGTAGCACCCCAAAGCGCCCAGAGCTGCGCGGAGGCGATTCCTGCGCCGGAACTGAAGAGTCCTTGGTGTCCCTGGACGACGACAATTGAGGCCCCTCGGGCATACCTGGCAGGGATGGGGCCAAAAAAAGAACCAGATCTTCAGATGTTAAGCTGAAAATAGATGGTATATGCTGGGATATGCTGGGATATGATGGGATATGATGGGATATGATGGGATATGATGGGATATGATGGGATATGATGGGATATGATTCTTGTGTGATGTGAATAGCATGATGAAGATTGATGGAAATGTTTAGATTGATAAGATTTAATAACTATACGAATCCCCAAGTCATAAGATGATATGACCGGAACCTTCTTGACTCACAATGCATTCTAGCACTCCAAATGACGCGTAAATTGAACTACCCCTTTTAAAAAAGGCGCTTCATACTTCATAGATGGCTAATAAGCCCTTATTGCTGGTTGTTGGTGGTTAATCAACCCTATCCACAAACCTGCAATTATTGGGTAATAGATATATCATGATATATCATGATATAACCTCCATTCTTCTGAATCCCATTCTTCACACCACTAGTCCAATTAAATCCCATTACATAGACCGTCGTAATCGTAGATCCTCATTGTTTATCCCAGGAAATCCCATGAAATCCCATTTAATCATTAGTTCACCTTAAATCCCAACGAAAAAAAACATCGGACAATTTGTTTCCCATCAAAACCATCCTCTGGGGTGTCAAAATGAGACATCCTGCCTTGCAGCAACCGCGAGTGTGAACTCGGACAAGGACCCGCCTCAAGCACAGAAATCCCCCCTGCCAGCTGGGCAAGAGGGCCATCCTAAATCCATATTTATAGCCAAACCCAAAAAGATAGACAAGTAATCCCCTAAAATTTCGGGGGAAATGACTTTTCGGCACCCTTTTTGGGTACCCGTCAATCATTGGGGACTGTCAAGTAATGTAACTTCTATAGTACCTTGGATGTAAGATGCTTTTCACTGAAGGAACTACCCAGGAGTCAGACAGCTGAAACGCCGTCTCTCAGGGCAAGTGGGGCAAGCGGTCGACGTCGAAGTCAAGGGGAAACTCCCCAAACGTCATGGTGCATGTACCATGTTTTTCCCTATGAAAAATGGTGAAACTTGGGTGTATACCCCCATTTTTTCCAGAGACGCCTATGGAATCTGAAGATTTTGAGCCCAAACAGAACTGAGAATCATCTTGTCGGTACCTGGTTTGATCCAATGTCCGGAGTTCTCTTGGAACCCCCACAGCATCGATGCCCATGGGTGGTGCCGGAGCCTTAGTTTGGACACTGCTTTGGTCCAAATGACTGACGAATATTCACCAAAAAAAAACGGACGTGCGGTACCTATTCCGTCTGGAAATCAAACGTAGCTGGAAAAGTGCTAGTTTGGCGAGGTTAAAAATCATCTATCAATGGATATAGGGAAACTTCCAGTGCCATGCAGGCAAAAGGCAACCAGGTTACCTGGGGTTATTCAACGAGGTCAATCCATGTGAAACAATCCCCAATTTCCACCAGAGAGTCCCGATTGTCACATCGTCTTGCCCACAATAATCCCTAGTTCTATGCCCACATATCCTTCAAAGTGTTGCAAAATTCTATCCCCGCACACACAAAAATTGTCCATCCAACACTAGTTACCATCTCTGCATTATGTACCAATTTAGAAGTACTGTAACTACCACCAGTTTGCAAAAATATATCCCTAATCTGTAAAATTTGCAAACTGCCGTTATGGCAATGGCAAAAATTGCATATAGAGGATGTTTACCCATCTATTGCCAGTTGCAAAGAATGTCATAGATTGGGTGCAGGAAAAGTACTATGTTACTATATCTGGATAAAACCTATTTCTGGACATAGTAGTGACTCTAAAGATTACCCTCTGGTAAACTAACAGTTTGCTATTGAAAATGGCCATTGAGTACGTTGATTTACCCATTAATAGCATGGTGGATCCTTCCACTGTTTCTTGTAAACGTTTGCCAGAGGGTATTAACCATGATCAACCATGCCATGACGATTTAGTCCCGATTGATGCATTATTATGCCACTATTATGCCACTATTATCCCATTATTATCCCTATAAAACCACATAAAACCATCTAATCCCCCGTTCTGTTGCCTAGTTATGTTAGTTTGCCAGATGATAAAACACCTATATCATCTATATCTGGATAGGACCTATATATTTCTGGACATAGTAGTACCTCTAAGTCCCGATTGATGCATTACTATGCCACTATTATGCCACTATTATCCCATTACTATCCCTATAAAACCCATATAAAGCCATCTAATCCCCCATTCTGTTGCCTGGTTATGTTAGTTTGCCAGATGATAAAACACCTATACCATCTATATCTGGATAGGACCTATATATTTCTGGACATAGTAGTACCTCTAAGTCCCGATTGATGCATTATTATGCCACTATTATCCCATTATTATCCCTATAAAACCCATATAAAACCATCTAATCCCCCGTTCTGTTGCCTAGTTATGTTAGTTTGCCAGATGATAAAACACCTGTATCATCTATATCTGGATAGGACCTATATATTTCTGGACATAGTAGTACCTCTAAGTCCCGATTGATGCATTATTATGCCATTATTATCCCATTGCTATCCCTATAAAACCATATAAAACCATCTAATCCCCCGTTCTGTTGCCTAGTTATGTTAGTTTGCCAGATGATAAAAAGCCTATATCATCTATATCTGGATAGGACCTATATATTTCTGGGCATAGTAGTACCTCTAAGTCCCGATTGATGCATTACTATGCCACTATTATGCCACTATTATCCCATTATTATCCCTATAAAACCACATAAAACCATCTAATCCCCCGTTCTGTTGCCTAGTTATGTTAGTTTGCCAGATGATAAAACACCTGTATCATCTATATCTGGATAGGACCTATATATTTCTGGACATAGTAGTACCTCTAAGTCCCGATTGATGCATTATTATGCCATTATTATCCCATTGCTATCCCTATAAAACCATATAAAACCATCTAATCCCCCGTTCTGTTGCCTAGTTATGTTAGTTTGCCAGATGATAAAAAGCCTATATCATCTATATCTGGATAGGACCTATATATTTCTGGGCATAGTAGTACCTCTAAGTCCCGATTGATGCATTACTATGCCACTATTATGCCACTATTATCCCATTATTATCCCTATAAAACCACATAAAACCATCTAATCCCCCGTTCTGTTGCCTAGTTATGTTAGTTTGCCAGATGATAAAACACCTATATCATCTATATCTGGATAGGACCTATATATTTCTGGACATAGTAGTACCTCTAAGTCCCGAATGATGCATTATTATGCCACTATTATTTATTATCCCATTATTATCCCTATAAAACCCATATAAAACCATCTAATCCCCCGTTCTGTTGCCTAGTTATGTTAGTTTGCCAGATGATAAAACACCTATATAATCGATATCTGGATAGGACCTATATATTTCTGGACATAGTAGTACCTCTAAATCCCGATTGAGGTATTATTATGCCACTATTATGCCACTATTATCCCATTCTTATCCCTATAAAACCATATAAAACCATCTAATCCCCCGTTCTGTTGCCTAGTTATGTTAGTTTGCCAGATGATAAACACCTATACCATCTATATCTGGATAGGACCTATATATTTCTGGACATAGTAGTACCTCTAAGCCCCGATTGATGCATTATTATGCCACTATAAAACCACATAAAACCATCTAATCCCTACAAAGTGGGGCCCCCAAACGATAGCTAAGTCACTATGGTTTATGGTACCTATAACTATAGTATTCATGGGGTTTATAAACCATCTTATAACTGGGGGGCCCCACATTGTATATAAAATCCCCATTTTCTGAACCCCCCCCGTTCTGGTCAGGCCATCGCACCGGCGACGGCGGCGAAGGCAGCGCCGGCAGCGCGTTCCCGGGAACGCCGGGAACGCGCTGCAGCGGCTCCTCGGTCCTGGAGGCGACCTGGCGCCCATTTTTTCAGGGGAAAATGATGGAAAAACGATGGAAAAACATGGAAAAATGATGCAAACCCACGGAAGAATGATGGAGAAAATGATGGAAAATAATGAACGGATGATGGAAAAGTGATGGAGAATGATGGAAAAAATGATGAACAGATGATGGGAAAATGATGAGCAGATGATGGAAAAATGATGAATAAATGATGGACAGATGATGGGACAAATTAGAAACCCATGGAAAAGTTGCCGGAAACCGGTTGAACATGACGGACGCATGATGGACAAATATCGAAAAGCGTTTTCCCCAGAGTTCTTCCTCAGGGTAAAGATGTCTTTGTTTTGACTTTTTGGTGGAACTCTGATTTTTTGGGTGCTTTATCCCAATCTTTGGTAGGTGAAAGTGGCTCAACCCAGTCTTCGGTAGTTTAACCCTGGTAGCCTGGTGAACTTTGAAATAGCTGGGATGTAGCTGGATGCCCGTCTCCCCATTAGTGATGGAAAAAAATGGTTTTTGACCCATCCCCCAGATGTTTTCCATTATATCCCATTATACTCCATTAATATCCCGTGTATCACCTTGAATTTTCAAGTGAAATGACCCCAGTGTTTATGATTAAATATGCTTCAATCCTATTCTTATACTTATACCAATATGGTCAAAATTTGTTAATTCGTACTTTTCCCCCTCTTTAACCCATTCTTGGATTGAACCATATTTCATCATATTGTTACCATCATGGTGGCTGTCCCATTCTTATCCCATTATTCTGGGTAAATTACTACGTATATTTCACTAACCTGAAATAGGGCCCGGATCATTAACCACATAACCATTATCAACAATTGTTGACCATGATCAACCATTTTGAGCCACAAAAAACATCACTGTTGACCATCATAAACCACTGCTAAGCACTATTAAACAACCGTTGGTGGGGATGTGTATATATATATATATTCCATTTATTTCCATTCATTTCCATTGTTTTCCATTAATGTCCATTAATGTCCATCAATGTCCATTAATGTCCATTGATTTCCATTAATTTCCATTCAATCTTCATTACAAGAAGACAATTTCCATTCGTTATCCTTGATATCCCTTGATTTCCCACCTGCCACGGAGAAGGCCAGTCCGGAGTGGCAGGCGAGCCTTGGATCTTGGAAGTGACGACATGTAATATGTGTATAGCTACATATATCTACATATCTATATATCTATATATCTATATTTCTATATCTATATATCTATATGTCTATATATCTATATGTCTATATGTATCTATATCTATCTATATATCTCTATATATCTCTATATTTCTATGTATAGCCTACAGTATACATATCTAATTATATAACAGTATACATATCTAATTATATAATATCAAATTATCTAATATCATGTAATATCTACATATATATATACAGCTGTATAAATACATAGCTCTATAGCTCTTTAGTTCTATAAAGTCTATATCTATATAAATCCACGAAGTATCCGTCAAATATATGTTCAATAGCCAAATATGAGCGTTTTTCTGAATACCAATTCACTATAGAAACTTCCCAATTGAGATGCCGTTTATAGGAAGACACCATGCAAATAGTGATCAAGTTCACCTGTTTCGATCTTCTTGGGACTTATCTACCCTAATCATACCTATAATTCTTGATATAGAATTCCTACTATCAAGATTGTCACTTAATAAATCCCACATATTATTTATATATATATACACTATATACATATAAATCTATCTATTCTATGTGTTTTTTACTTTATGTGTGCATATAAATCGAAGTTTCCGCTTGGTTTCTGCTTGGTTTCCACACGCCTCGGAGGGCCATCCTGGCGAACACCATGGAACTAGCCAGGAACACCTTTTTGAGGTCCGGGGGAGGTGGCGGAATTTTGAAAAACTGGAAAGAACTCATAGTTTTCAGTTATTATAAACAAATTATCAGTTGTAATGTATATTTATAGTTATAGTATGGAATATTATACTAGTATCTAGTATGTATAGTTATAATATATATATATAACTATAAATAATATATTTCATAACATATTACTATTATAACATATTATAGCTATTCCATATTCATAGTACCAGAATGTTATAGTATTATAGTTAAATAAAACTCATGATTCATGGGAATCCCAGGATCCAAACATGGAGGTCCGTTTGTACCATCTAAAGCCATAGAAATTGGGCACAAATCGCCTTGCATAGTCCTAACAAATACGCCTTACAAATGGTAGGTACCTCCAATTTGGGTTGTTGAAATGGCCAGTACTCATAAGAACTTATTCCATGTGGACAGTTATATATACTTATTATAACAAGGATTAATTATCTACAAATGATGTGGTTGACTATAAGTTTGTCATTTATGGGGCATACCCCCCGGTAAACTAACATAGCTATTGAAAATGGCCTATTTTATAGTTGATGTACCCTCTGGTAAATTAACATAGACCCTGGCAGATAGGGGTTAGAAGACTAGTTTGCATTAAAAATTGGTGATTTTCAGGGTCTATGTTTATTTACTAGAGGGTACCTGTTAAAAGTGATGATTTTCCATAGTTTCACCCCACCTTTCCTGGCGTACAACCTGACCTGGGGTAGCTCAGATATACCTAGTATCAAAGGCCTCAAGAGATGCGCTGGCAACGTCGTTTGCAGCAACCTCCTAGACTATATATATATAATATTATATATAAAGTATAACTTATATGTATAATATAACTATATATAATCTAAATTATATATATATATAATATAATTTTATATGTATATTTATGTGTATATATATCCTCGTGATATTCCCATCACCTGGCTGTTTCTCCCCATGCTTCGATAATGCCCCGTACCTCCATTGCTGCTGCATTCATCACCTGGCTGAGTGGACCCCAGATGGACCAAGTGATCTAAAGATTGAGGATGGATGACATTTTATCTCCTCAAAGTTTTAATATGAATATGAATAGAATGATGGAAATATGGATAATTTATGATATTAATATCCATATATGAATATCCATTAATATCAGGAAATTGATATGAATCATAAATTATCATGATCTATATCTATATCTATCTATATATATATGGATATTCGCATTATATAATTCATGATACATGCTCTGAGATGCAAAATGGTCTCAAGGTCTTAAGCACATGTTTCAGGATGAAAAGACACCTATTTCAGAGGGAAAATCAAGGGAAAAAGCATACGAAACCATTGGAAATTGGGGAATTATCTCTTACTGCTTGTATTTAGTGGAGCCAGGTTCATTTAATGCCTCTTTAATCAACATCACCACTAGAATCCCCATTCTATTTCCATCATATTCAAATTATATCCACACTATTGGCAAATTAAATCCCTCACTTGATGGCCAGATCCTATTTTCAACATGTTTAAGTTCGGCAAACCATCTATTTCTATGGGCCATGGCTTTCCATGGCTATGTTAGTCATAACCAAAGGGTAATTCTTGGTGAAATCCCATGAAACCTGGGCGAGCCGACCTGCCGCAGATCGAGGATCTCTGCTTCACCTCACAGCTTTTTTGGTGTCAGAAAATCTCCAAATCCATTTTTTCAAACCCCCTGGCCCTGGCCAATTTCCCCATGTTCATGGCCAGCCTTTACAAAGTTATATATACATATATGTATATACTGTATAGATAGTCTGGCAATCCGCAAAGCTCCCCGATTTGTAGATGATGTTCCATTGTTGAATTTGATGTTTTTTCCCACGATCATACTTGATTACAAGAGTGTCACCGATGAAAACGTAGGATTCAAATCTTCGCCCATCATTTCAAACCAGGTGATGGCTTAACTCTCCAAAATGTGATGGATGCCAACTCTCCGATGAGTTGCAAAAATGTGCAGCTCCCCGTTTGGCAAAAATTCTCATCTCTTTAAATCCTCATTGTATCCCCCCTTTCCCATTAATTGCTGGTAACTGGTACCCCCATTCTCGATGATTAAGCCCCATTTTCGAATACATGTGATTATAATGCTCTCACAAATCATCCCAATCTACAAAACCCCCTCAATCATAAGATTAACCCCCCGGTTATGAAACATGGCAATGGAAAATCTTCTGTTTGTAGTTGCTTTTCGCTTTAAAACCTCCATTTTCCAACAGAAGATTTCCCAGCCACCTTTGACTACCGGAGGGCTTGGTAATCTCAATTCGGGGGATATTTTTTCTCCATGGACATCCATAGATCACATAAATCACTACTATTAACCATCATTAAGCCATCATTAACCCATTATGAAGCATTCTAATAACCACTAAGTCACTATGAACCCATCATGAAACCATCATTAACCCACAATAAAACCCACCAAGAACCCATCACTAATACATCATTAAGATGCATTAAGCATTAAAAACCACTATTAATCATGAGATTCCCATGATTTTTGGGGTTCCTTAAGCCGCCACCACGACATGCCCATGGATCCCATGGCGTCCAAGACGCAGCGCGCCACTCGGCCACTAAGCTGCGTGGTCACGTGCCGCGCATCGCTGAGCTCGGTGTAGAGCTGCAGGCGGATTTCTGGTGAAGAAAATGAAGAAAATCACACCTGGTTGGTGGTTAATGGTGATTAATAGTGATTAATGATGGTTGATAATCTGGTTGGTGGTTGACCTACCCCTCTGAAAAATATGGTTAATGATATGGTTAATATATGGTTATTATATGGTTAATGATGGTTAATAATCTGGTTGGTGGTTGACCTACCCCTCTGAAAAATATGAGTCAGTTGGGGTGATGAAATTCCCAATATATGGAAAAACAAAAAATGTTCCAAACCACCAACCAGACACACTTTCCAAAGATGCTTTGTTTTTGGTTAGTTAACCACCGACATTGAATGCGAAATGCTGTGAACATCTTTGGAAAAATCACAAGTTTTGAAAAACAGATGTAGCTACCAACAAAAAATGCGAAAATCTTGCAAAAACGTGTCAAAAATATTGGAAGAAATGATGAACCTCGTGATTCTGTTTGAAAAAATGATTTCACCCCTAAGAAATGCGAAAAAAAAAAAAAACATGTGTTTGTTGAAGAAAAACACTACAGTAAGAAAGTATATAAAATATATATATATATATATTATATATATATGTAAAATATATAGTTATAATATGTTATAATTATATACTTAGGGATGTGACCTCTAACAGATCGACCCTGCCATAAGTTGAGGGTCACCTATTCACTGGATGGAGCTGACCTCAAAACAGGACCCACCGGTGAGTTAGTAGACACCCAACCGTGAGATAATCTACTGTGCAAGGAGATAAATAAAATCAAATGCGCCTCAGTTGTTTGGGAGCCAATTACCTTACAGTCCCCTACAGTAACTATCCGATTACCCAGTAAAATAACGTAGACCTTGCCACCAGTCAGGATGCCTGAACCCTCAGTTCATCGATTCGAAGTAGATCGGCTGATGCCTGGAAATGCTGTTTTTTGGGATGCGAAGAAGAACGGAGTTGACGCACAAACTCACGGAAACGTTGGGGTTGGTACCCGAAAATCGTGGCAAAAGCACTTCAATATTCCATCATGTCTGTGGGGTGGGAGAAACACCTTCTTCGGACGCCCATTATACCCAGAAAATTGGGAGTTGAGTCACAAGACTTGGCATTCCATTATCAATGAACATGGGGAACAAGCAAAACTGATTGTGGGTCAACCAAGAAACCGACTCTCGGTTGGAAAATCTGGAATCTCACCTGGAAAATCGGGGAATGGTGGCCTAAACAACAAACATCTGGTTCCCTTTATGGAGCTGAGAAAAGCTATGTTGGTCATTCTTCATTCCTCGGTATTCCAGTTTTTTTTGGGGAACTTACTGGTGGAATTTCGAGAAAATGTGGTGTCCACCCAAAATGCGTATTTGAATGGGAACATGATGGTGGATCTGGCCACATGGGCTACCGTATATTTTCAGACCTAGCCCAAATAGAATACTGTAAAAGAATGATGAGGATATAACTTGATGCAACCAAGAACTGCCAAGAACGATGGAAATTATACGATCATTCAACAAAAATTATAGGCATGTTTCCGAGTGCCGGGATGGGAATCCCCCAAAATTCTTGGGTGTATGGACGACACAAACCAATATTTGGATATGTTTGGGGCAACATTTCCAGTATTTTCCAGTAGAAACCCATAGGAAACCATCTTGAGAGATAACGGCATTCACCACTTTACCCTATGGTGAACGTCAGGCACCTCGGGAAGTTCCCGTTTGGCACTGCCAGGTGAGACCACCGCCTTGGTGCGGGAACACCCCCAAAGTAGTTTGATACGGCGAAAAAATCAACTGCGTTCTCTCATCCTGACACGCGATTTTCGCGTGTTCCGGTCGTTTCCCCTTTGATCTATGGGCACCTCGGGTGAGTACTATGGGGTCTGTGAGGTAGAGAAAAATCTTCACCCACAACCAAAGGAATTGGAATCTCCTTGTTTATTTTATCTATATCTTTATTTGGAAGAAGAACCTGAACCTATACACAGATTAATTGTCTATAGCACAACGCTGAGAATTACCAACTTCTGTACTTCCAGGGGGCCACCAAGACATTTTGACCACGACATGGGTTTTGTCTGAACATAGGCCCCCCAGTTTTTTCTACTTCGCCATTGCGTTTCCCCGATCTTCAGAGAAACCTACATCATGTGATTCTGTGTAAATTCCTATCATATTCCCAGTCCCCATGGGCCCATGATATTCCCACGATCCTAATACCATCGTTTGTAGCTGATCCAATCTGTGCCGTATCCCCAAGATTCATCCCGTTATCCGTTATCCCAACCGACGTTGGCCGTTGCCTCATACCTGGAGGATCATCCCCGTCTCTAAAAAATGGGGCTCCCCCAAATTATAAGTTGGGGACCATTAACCCCCAAAAAAACTATAGCTGTATCCCCCAATTCCAGCCAACTAACTCTTCACCATTTCTGAAATTTGTGAACTTCATTACCATAAATAGCTATGTTTGATGGTCAAATCATGCTAAACCACCATTTTCCAATGGTTAAACCACCATTTTCGCTGGTTGGTGGTTGACCTATCCCTCTGAAAAATATGAGTCAGTTGGGATGATGACATTCCCAATATATGGAAAAATAAAATTCATGTTCCAAACCACCAACCAGTTCCTATATTTTCCCATGGTTTTTGCCATTTTTTCCACCAAGCCGCAGAGCTCGGCAGCGCGGCAGCGCTTGCTGTCTCCTCAGCGCCTGCCAGGTCCTCCTCCAAACGCAAGATGCGCCTGGGATGGCATGGGGAAGTGATGGGATGGGCCAAAAACCCTAGGAAAATATAGGGATAATTGTGGTTTGGGAAAATGGTGGTTTAACCAACAAGAATCATGATTTGGATGATTTAGTGAGATTTATAGTTGGTTTAATACGGTTTAATGGTATTGATGGCGGTTTAAGTAACAAGATTCAGGGATGTCAATTACGTGTTTCACCAACAGTAAGATGGTGATCTCGCGTCAACAACGTGGGGAAAAAAGGGGGGCCGGTGGGAATGGAATGGAGAAATTGATCCATTGGGGAAAAACCCATGGGCTTAGGATTTTTCGTAACCAGAGATGAGTAAATATCGGGCATCGCGTAGTGTGAATTGATTCAATATAACTGTTGATTGGGTTTAAAAAAAACGCCAGCTGCTCTAAATTGGCTATCAGAAACCATGGCGGGAACCCCAATGCTGATAAACATGCCAAACTGATGCCCTACAGTCCACCCAGTGCGTTGGGCGCCAGCCCCTGCTTCCATCTGCTTCCTGTGTCCCAAGGTGGTCGTTCCTGTACTGCTGGAAGCAGAATCTGCTTATTTGCAAAAGGGGGAGGCAGCAGGCATCGGACGATTGAATTGCTGGCTACAATTGGCCGTAGGATTCTTGAAATGCGAACACGAACAAATGATGGCATCTATACTATAGTGACGAAGTCCTTTGGGTTCACAGATTGCTCTGGTTGATTCCCTTTTCTATCATCTCTGTTCAGGTAGTTGTGAAGTCACTCTGACCTACTCACCAGATGTCACCAGTAAATTTAAGTCACCGGGACGACTCAAAACAACCCAGCACGACAGCCGGTACCCGGTCATACCCGATCCCATTGATCCAGCACGAGCACCTCTTATGCCTCTCCTTCTCATGTCGTTGCAAACTCTGCAGTTCCTTCTCCACCAGCTGCAGCCGTTGGTTTAGCGACGAGGACGCGCTAAAGACCTGCCGTGATGAAACAACGTGGAAATTTAACGGAATCCTCACCAATGTACGGGAATATGACTTATTCTATGTACTTCGGGATTATTCATATGTACATATATAATACACCTTTTTGTGGATGACATCCCCAAGTTGGTGAAAACAGGTTCCACCCAGGGTAGATCCTATACTTTTCCACCAGGCTTAGAGTCCGCAAATTCCGGACCACATGGTTTTGGCTATCCATTCCCGAGCACACATCACATGGTGTTCTCATATTTTCCCATGTTTTCCCATGATTTTCTCATGAAAACCTCCATTGATATCAGATTGCCCATGATTTTCCCATGTTTTCCCATGATTTTCCCCATTTTTGCTGCGGATTTCCCAGGAGTTTCCCACCTGCGCATGCGCCTCAGTCGAGGCTTGCGCCCGTTGCATGGCGGTTTGCGCCAAGCGCTGCGCTGCGTCCTGCAGTGTCACTACAGTGTGGCACAGGTCATGGATGATCATCGCCAAAATAGAAAGATTAAAGGTATATCACCTACAATAAATGATCATTATATACCATTATATACCATTACTAATGATTACTAATGGTATATAATGGTATATAATGGTATATAATGGTATATAATGATCATGACAATATATATATATATATAATGATTAGTCATTTATTGTCATGATTATATACCATTATATACCATTTCTAGGTGATTTTCCGTTGCTTTCTGATTACCAGAGAATATGTGTATGTATATATATACGCATACACACACAATCCCATTAAATCACAATAAATCACCATAAATCCCTTCAAATCACCATTAATTTATAAACTCACTATATACTCATAACATATTATAACCTCAAACACTACCATTCTATACTCATCACCATTAAATCACCATGTCATGGTATATTGTAGGTTATGTACCTTGTGAAATGACCATTGTTTAATCACCAGAATCGTAGTGACGATGGCAGTTTATCATCCCATCTCTGCCATGCCAAGCTTTCAACTCACCATTGCAACATCACCATGAATTTCACCATGAATTTCATCACTATTTCATCACCATATCCCATGATTATCCCATGATTATCCCATGATTATCCCATGATTATCCCATGATTATCCCATGGTTTTCATCCCATTTCCCAACCTTTCCCAACCTTTCCCAACCTTTCCCAACCTTTCCCCACCCCCACAGGCCCCCCTTTCCGCCTGTAGCTCAGCCAGGTGCTGCTCGCGCTTCAGGGCCTCCTTGCGCAAGGTCTCCTGGCCGCTCCAAAGGCGCTGCTCCAGCTGTTTCACCTGCTCCTGGCGTCCAAAAAATAGGTGGCGGTTTACTGATTTTGTTGATGATGTTCAAAGTAGGAAAAACCTAAAACAAAACATAACTTCAAGTTATACCATGTTATACATGATGTTATACATGATGTTATATCATGTTTTATACATGTTATACTGGTAAATCAATTGATAACCACATTTCTCATCCACATTTCGTGGGTGGACTTGCTCGGCTTAACCACCCAGTGGGATCCGCCAACTCTGGGCCCAGCGGGGCCCATTTTATCTCTGGTTTTTGGATCAAAAAATATGGGCTGGTTTCCTATGCTTTACTATGCTTTACTATGCTTTACTATGCTTTACTGACATTAGCAGTTTCCGAGCAGTTTCCGTTTCAGGCTTGATATGTCCATCATAGCGGTTTGAATGATGGTAGACTGAGTATACTGTACTCCAGACCTTTCGTGACGCCAAAAGAGTTTGGATTTTTTTTTAAACATCGTCCCACCTTCGAGCTGGCGAAATCAGATGGTTCATTGATGCTCATTGCTAGAAAATGCCGTTCGCAAACGTGGATTTAAAAAAAAAACGGTTGCCCTTCCTGAAAACAGCATCCAGAAATGTGGTGTTTTCAGATGGGTTTATTCCGGGTTTATGCACCATCAGAATGCGTTTCAAATTGGATGGCTTGGATGGCTTGGATGGCTCCTCACAAAGCCGCTGGACGTCAAGCACGTGCACATCCTGACCCGGTGGCACCGGTGGTTGACCAACATCCCCTCACATTCCCAGGTCGTCTCAACGGGATCATCATCCCTTCCGTCTCACGTCGCACCCAACTAGTGTATGTTGTTCCCCTGAGAAAGTGATGAGAAGTAACCATAAGTGGGTGATTTACCATGATTTACCAAGCAATTCTGATGGACAAGAATTGTGGAAACTCCAGAATGGGGACTTGACCAAGAAAAATTGGGATTATCTCACTGGGAAGATGATGAGTTAAGCCATGGGAGTTTTACAGCTAGCCTGTTTTCAGAGAAACCCACATGGGAAACTGGAGAAGTCGGCGAAATCACCATATATTTTTTTCCGCGTGGAAAAAATGGAGATCACCTAGGTGGGTTGGAGCAACTCTGACATGGAAAATCCATGAAAATCCCTCTTCAAAGATGACTTGTCCACACTTTTCCACCATGAAACCGGGCACGTCCAGCCGCCTTCAGCTGCTGCTGCAGCTGCTGCTGCAACTGGGGCTGCACAACCTGCTGCAGCTGTTGCTGCACGATCTCCAGGAGTTGCGATTGCAGCTGTTGACTCAAGGCACCAGAGAGTCGCGCCTGGGGAAGGTACATCGTGTTGGGGTTGACCAATGGGAGCAGCCAGATATGTTGTTTTTCGCATCCTGTGAAGACAAAGCATGATAGGTGTACTGGATGGATATTCCAAAAAGATCCAAAAAGACTTATATATAGATATATCATGATATATCCAGATATATCCAGATCGAGGGATTTGCCTGCATACTTCAAGGAAGAGGATAAGATCATGGTATGCTCGATGGGGCACCTCCAGCGTGTCCAAATTTCCACGAAACTCCTGCCATCGATTGCCATGGGGGACCCGTTGAACTGTGCGGGGGGAAGCAATGGTGATGTTAGGGGTACCCGGGTACCCCAAGTTTCAGAAACACCCAAAGGCATACAAACTCTTATTCTGCAGTTTGTACCAAAATGAGTCGAAAATGGGTGGAAAATGGGTATAGAGATTGATAGAGATATCATGACCTTTGTCGAGAAAATATCCGATACTGTATATATATATATATAGCATGTGTTCCCTGCCCAATAAGCATTGGAACCCGCGGGAATCAGTAGTTGGTGGTTTCGACCCTTCATCAAAAGCACTGGTCTCATTCTGTCACCGGACATCATCATCATCATCATCATCATCATCATCGTCATCGTCATCGTCATCGTCATCATCGTCAGCATCGTGAAAGGTAAAGGTGAAAATAAAAATGAATTGGCGAATGGTTTCAAATTCGCTGGAAAGAAACACTAATTGTGCACCACAGGGGAATCATGAGACCGCCCCGATAGGGTAGGGGTCCCCCCCTTCTTCAAGGGGGGGGGGGGCTTCTTCAAGGGAAAGCTTCTTTGAAGGGAAGTCTTCAGTGCGGGGCAGCCCCCCCCCAAGAAGAAGAAGGGGGGGAGGGGGCTTCTTGAAGGCGGGGGGGTTTCTTCTTTCCTCTCTCCTCTCTCTCTTCTCTCTCCCTACTCTTTTTCTGTGTCCATCTCTCCTGTCCAGGAACATGGAATCTTTTGGCGGGGGAGGCGCTGCCGCCTCCCCCCGCGCCCCCCACCCGCTTTTTTTAATACAACCTCCTTCTCCGCATCCTTCCGCCTCGTCCTGCTCCTCTTCCTCCTCCTCCTCCTCCACACTACTACTACTAACCACCTACTACCACCACCAAAGCTCCCCCCCCCTTCTTAAAGAAGAGCCCCTCCCCCCCTTGAAGAGTCCCCCCCCCCTCCCTTGTTGAAGAAGAAGCCCCCCCCCCCTGAAGAAGTCCCCCCCCCTCCCTTGAAGAAGTCCCCCCCCTCCCTTGTTGAAGAAGAAGCACCCCCCCCCCTTGAAGAAGTCCGGTATCCCTCTACCGGGGAGATCTGGTTTCAAATTCGCTGGAAAGAAACACTAATTGTGCACCACAGGCGAATCATAACAAGACTCTATTATCTGAAGACACAGGGGGTCGCATTCATCTCATGCCTGATCATCATGTTCCCAGTCTTAAAATTGTCTTTCTTCGATACCCTTGGAGACAAACCCATGGATTTTTACTGTTGGTAAATCCAACATGGTTGCCATGGTTGCCTTATAAAATTCCCCTACAAAATCCTTTAAAAAGGACGCGATATGGACCCGGTGCTTCTCGTGTTTCTTGACGTATTCAAACAGTTTGTGGGGTAACTCATTGATACGCATCATATCAACTCAGCAAGGAGTGTGGCTCTGAAAAACGCAAGGGTTTCTCCTAAAAGTGCGGTAAAATCCAATGATTCAGAAGCCGTCAGTTCTCCCCATGTTCGGATGGAAATTTGAGGCACCCCTGAGCCATCCTCCATCTGCCGCTGCATCCGACCCTGTCCCTGGCTATCCAGGGACCAGTTCGACCTGGGCGTAGAAGGGATGATGGCAAAATGGCCGATATTTTTTCGAGAAGCCCAATAGTATGCAAAGCGTCGAAGTTCTGAATGGACATGGCTATGTCATGTTGAATTCCATTTAGATCACACTCTTGTAAAAACATCATCAAGCATAGATAAGGCCAGATTTCCATCATTCACCAGCATTTTCGCCCCCATTCCCACCATTCCCAGTCTCCCTTCCCCACAGTCCCTCTGGTTCCCCACCTGCCGCGATCCGTTAAGCACTTCTCCAGCTGCCCAAGCTTCGACTCCACGTAGTTCATCTGCGTCTGGAAGTTTCCGTCCAAGGTGCGGAGCCTCAAATACTCCGCATCCAAGGACCTCGCGTTTGGCGCGTTTGGCGCGTTTTGCGGGGGAGAGGGATGGATGACAGTGGAAAAGTCAACCAAGGGTCATCAAGGATCAAGGAATTATATTATATATGACATATATATATAATTATATGTATATATATATATATGTTTTGAAGATCAAGGAATTCTATCTGAATCAATGTACAGTTTGTGGGCCAGTTTGTGGGCCAGTTTGTGGGTATGAAGGGCGGGAGGAGAGCTGACAGGCCATTCATGGACCATCTACCATGATTTGTTGGTGGTCTCCTGAGTTTTGTTGGTTGTATATACTACATAGTACACAATCTCATAGTTTGTTGGCTAATCCGTAGGTAAACCATGAAAATTCCAGAGTTTGTTGGTGTTTCACCAGCCTTTTCATGGCTAGAGCACCCAAAGCTGTCTCAGTCACTAAGCCCAGGGACTGTCGCCAAGCCTTTTCTTCCTTTTGCACCTGCAGGAAGGTCTCCTGAGGAATTCATCTTGGGATTCCGCCACAAATCACAGCGACAACGACGCTGTGATCTCTTCATCATCAGCAAAATAGCTCATCAACATATCATATATCAACATTCTGATGATATCTCCATGTGAACACCATTTGTATCCCAATGGATCACCGATTTAGTAATCTGATATAGCTCTTGGAGGATGGATGACCTATTTAGTTGGATGATCTACTGTTTCTAAACATCGTGATTTTCCATAACTATTGTGAAATTACCTGAAGGCCTACCCCATCGACAAAAATGGGCCGCTGTCCAAGCTACCGGAGGGTACACAACTTGGGGTGCTGGTCCACTTCTTAAGTGGCAAAAAAAACAAAAAAATAGCAAAAACAGGGGTTCTATCCCAAATTATGCTGGTGATTTACCTCGTTATACCAAATGTTTGACCATTTATAACCCCAACTCCACCCCCTGGTATCCCATCGTCCTCATGTTTGTTGCTTCAATTTTTATTCATCACCATAAAATCCATTGAAATCCCATGAAATTCTCTTAAATTCCCATAAAATCACATTATACCACTAAAGTGTCATTAATTTAATCCGATTCAATCCGTAAAAATATCATAAAATCCCCATCTAAACCATCTAAACCTCATGGAAAAATCCATCTCCTGCAGCGTTTCTTGCTTCTCCGAAAGCTGATCCAGCTGCTGGTCGTGTTGACTCAAGCGCTGGTGTAGCTCCTACCAGCACGGGGTTATGGGGCCGTGTCCGGGATTTGCCGGGAACCCCAGCATCCGGCGCATCTCGTTGTAACCAATTTTTCCGCCGTTGCTCCAAAAGGCAGAAATTTTAGTCGTTCTTGTACAGAAAAGTCTTTTTTGTAAAAAAAAAAACGCCGTTGTAAAAAATGTCCCTCCATGCGGTCGAGTAATGTCGCCGTTTGGTCGGGTCATGTCGCCGTTTCGTCGGGCAATGTCGTTGTTGCAAAAACATATATTTGGAATTGTTTGGAAATCTCAAAAAAAACGTTCCGCAAACAAAAGTCGTTCTTTCGGAAAACCTATTTTTCGAGCAAAAAGCAGAATTTTAGCACCATTTTGAAGATGCAGGTACACATCGGCTTGTGTGATATTCCATCTGGAAATTGGGATGTGTGCCAGTGTCAGTGTCAGAAGTCCTTCTCGGGCAGAACAATCGGTCTCCTGTCACTTTTCCTGATGAATCTAATCAAGAAAAATGCTGTTTATCGGATGTGCTTAATTAAGGAACATCCTAAAAATATCTTAGATATCCAAAGAAATCATTCATAATCATTCATAAATCTATCATAATCCAAAAAAAACCTTCATTGATTCATAAAATAGATTTATAATCTATGGGATGTTCATATCTAATATATGATATATGAATATATATATATATATGATAGATTTATAATCTATGATCATTATATCTATCATTCATAAATATAGTAAATGATCCATGGGGAAAGCCACATCTCCAATGGACTTCCCCAGCGAGTCACCGATAAAAAGAACGATGCTGCCATTGCTGGCTGGCTGGTTGACTTTTTGCTCCCGGTATTCGATTACCCACGGGTAATTTCACATAGATTTGGAACATGGAACCGTATTATATATATATACTATATTATATATATATATGAACTGATAATGATGAATTGCCTATTGAAATGATAAAATTTCCGTATAGCCATATGTCAGTAGGCTATACACAAGTTAATGTGCTACACCCAATGCCATAACCTATCCCAGTAACCAATCATAAAGCGGGTTATAAACATCATCCCAAATCGTTGAGGGTACACCCAATGCCATAAGCCCCTTATTTTGGGGATTGAACTATCGCATCTATCCTTTCATTCTCGTATAATTTGCCATACTTTCCCAGATGATTAGCTTCATAGTAACACCCAATCACATCAAAAAACATTTTGTCACACAAACAAAAGAACGCAAAACTCCAACTTGGAAAAGCAAAAATAATAGATTTGGGTATGGGTCAATACCTATAGATACATACATTTAGTGGGTTATTCACATCCATTTTAACCGAGCTATGACTTGGGGTTCGGCCGTCCTGCGAGACATCCTCGATGACACGCACCAAGCGCGCCTGCGCGTCGCTGACGCCCTTCACATCACGGTGTAAGGAAAAGATGCTGCTGCTCACCTCACCGGCACAACCTGGGCCCCTGAAAAAAAAAGCGGTGACTTTTTAATGAAAACAATGGACATTTTTAATGGAAACGTGGGACCCTGGAAACATTGAACAAAAAAGAAGTGGTGACTTTTTCATGGAAACAATGGAAAATGATGGAAAATGGGGATATCACTGGTAACTGTATGTTTTTGATGTGGATATTAGTGCAACTATACTCTGATTTCAGGATGAAACTCAAAAAAAAAATCTGGTTTCTGGATGGCTTGACATACAACTGACACTTGGAACCAGCCATGAGGGAATTCATGGCAAAAACCAACGATTTCGGCGTTGGTTGACGGTCATCCTTTTGCCGATGAAGTTCAGCCCCAAAGATCGCGATTTTGCAAAACGATGGTCCCTTGGAATTGGCGGTGCCTCATTTTTCAAACACCAATGGATAAACGGATAAACCATGAGTGAGTCAGCTTTGTAGGATCTGAAAATCCAGGATTTAGCCACCTACAAAAAGATATGTAGAGCTTCTATTGGTCAACTAGTGATAAGCCATTGGATGTTGGCAATTCTCAAGCCTGATCTCATTGAAACCCTGGAAAATTCGGCACCTCACTCTGATCCGAAACCTCTGATCTCAGACCCAGTGGCCGAGGCCGAATTGATACTGCTTTGAGTAACATCCTGAACGCTCAGGCTCCTTCAGCGACGATCCAAGAGGACGTGCAGAATCGTGCAGAACTCAAAAATGCGGGTGGGTTTGTAGGTGTCAAATTCATGAAAAACCATCACAACCAGCTGTTTGGAAAAAAAAAATGTGGTAGTCCACCATAGTCAACCATCAAATTTGTGGGTGAAAAATCATCACTGATTAAAAGTAGCAAGCAACCAGCAAAACAAGGGAAAGTCCAGCTGGAATGGCCAGTCAAGACGGTCACAGTCTGAAAGAGGATGAAAGAATTGCACGCCAACGAAACATGTTGATGAAGGTTGAATTGTCATGGTCAATCTTGGATACCGGTAGCCACAATCTAAGGTTAAACTCCGGAAATATCCCCACTGGCAAAACCAAAAACACTACCCTCTAGTAATTTGTTACATAGCTATTGAAAATGGCCATTTAGTTCATTGATTTACCCATTAATAGCATGGTGATTTTCCAGTTCGTTATGTGGCTGTTTACCAGAAGGTAAACAACCCATAAACAAGGTTTAAGGTGGTTTAGACAAATTTTTGTCTGGTCACACCCCAATGTTTTGCTGGAAATAATCCGGTGATCTAAAGGCCGTACCCTCCATGGTGAAAAAACAATATCTCCATGTTTCGAAAAATCACATCTGCGTACATCACATTTATACAAGACATTGAAAATTTAACTGTACCTTCTACCTACTTATATGTATAAAAGTGTTGGTTGGTGTTTTTAATCATGTTGAGAAACATAATTTCGTCAATGGGGTTGGGATTATCCCATATATGAAATGGAAAATAATCCAAATGTTTGAAACCACCAACCATATATATATATGTATATATGTATATATATATATGTGTATATGTATAACATGTATACACATCAAACAGGACCACCCTAAAAATTGACTTTCCCCACAACCACTCCTTCCCCTAAACCCTGGACCATAACCTCAACGCAACCTCAACACGCCGTGGACCTTTCATGGATCATCCATGTTCATCCATGGATCATCCCCCCATGGATCCTTCAGTGATAGTCCCAAAAAAACAACGCCCGAAATCACAACCATCAACAAAAATAGTCCTGAAATGCTAGAGTTGACCTTTATGGATTTTTCACAGGAAACCCATGGGATTTGGTGCAAAAATCGTCTGGGTTTCTGGTTAAGCCAATGAGATTATGCACTGAGAATTGTATTCCCATTGCGTGCGTATGGGTCAAAATTAGATACCCCTAATATAGGATGGTTTTCATACATGTTACCCTCTGGTAATTTGTTACATAGCGAACTGGAAAGATCCACCATGCTATTAATGGGAAAATCCACTATTTCTATGGCCATTTTCAATAGCAAACCGTTAAATTACCAGAGGGTAATACTATAAAGGAGCAGAATCTGCGGCTCTTTGGGCCTTAGACGATACTGAGCCATCCCATTCCTCAACCAGGACTGGCGGTTATGTTTACATCATTCCAGTCATTAAATCACCATAGTACAGCCAATTTCATAAACCTCTAATTTTTGGGGAATGGTTGATTGTAGTTATCCCATAATTATCCATGATTATCCCGCGATTTTCCGGAAAATCACTTCATATTCTCCAATTAATTCATCTCCTACAATAGCTCATAATATCTCATGCTATCTCATTATTGTTGGGTTTACCACATTAACCAACCATTGTTTCTTGGGTTAAAACGCCTATCCCGTCCTCGACGCTGGCCGCAGCGCTACCGGGCCCTCCCGCGTTTCGGGGCGGCCCCGGTCGCGTGGGTCGCGCAAGTCAGCCATGGGGCGGCCAGCCCAGCCCAGGGGATAGAGAAATATCTAGATATAACTAGTCATATAAGATGGATAATATTAGATATTTCTATGGATGACTATATTCCATATAGATTACACACACATGTATATATATATATAAGAAATATCTATGGATGAGAAACTATATTCTAGATGGAAAACTAGTCATATTAACTAGTCGTATTCTAAGTGATATGACTATATCCATGGATATTAGATATTTCTATGTTTCATATATTTTCCATGGATCTTCGGCCATGATTTACTTAGATGGGAAACTTCATGGCTAAGTCATATATACATAGAGAATCATAGAGATATACAGGATGTAGCTATATATAGTTTATAGAAATAGATATAGAATTTCCAAGATAGGATATGGAAATATCCCTACATATATCCTGTGGGCCACGGTCGTTTGTGTACCTACACTGTTTTATGGTTCAGATTCATCAAGCGTGATCTAGCTGGTTACATGGAGTTCAACAAAACTGTTGGGACTGCACTTCGCGTTGGAAACTGGGAACTCATATGCTTCACACGACTTCCCTACATATCCTTTGGGCTTAACAAAAACTGAAATAGAATATAGTGTGATAAAATCCCCAAAATAAACCATCCCCAAAATCACCATAAATGGGTTGTATGAACCATCCCCAAATGGTTTTTCTTTATGGGTACCACGTGATGCTGTTTAAGATTTCGTCACGTCGAAACGATGAATTTTTCCAAGGTGAGTCGGTGAGTATTGGTAACTATGAAACACTGCCAATAATCGGAATATATACCCTCTGGTAAACTAACATAGCTATTGAAAATGGTCATTTATAGTGAGTTTTCCCATTAAAATGGTGATTGTCCATAGTTATGTTAGTTTACCAGAGTGTAAACCATCTACCATCTGGTGCCGGATTTCTTCCATCCACAAAATAATATATTTTTATATAGTTTCTGCATGGTTTTTGTTGACTTAGGTTGATCTTGCGGCACAGTTGTCATTTGATTTGCACAAATCTGGTGCGGCGCGAGCATGAAGGTGGTGGTTCAAAGTCCATTCGGTTTCCTTGACTACACAAAGTATGACCAACAGGAGTCAACAAATGAGGTTGTCACAAAATCTACTAGGAAAGAACATACCTTTCACTTCTTGTTTCCTTCAACAAACATCACCCTCTTGGGATACACACTGAGCACAACTGGTTGGAGGTCCTCCCAGGGGGCCAGCAGCAAATTGGTTCTGAATCTGGACGCACAACTACATTTACAAATGTGTGCGCTTATACAAATACCAAATCAGTATATTGTATGTATATATATATATACACATATATATCGTACACATTTTCCCTTTTCAAAACCAATGCAGGTATCTGTCTAGACTCTAGACAAAACTATATTACATATATATATATAATTATATATATTAGAGTGGTAGATTAATCTCATCATATATCATATATCATATATCATATATCATATATCACTGTATATATATATATACATATACAGTACATATATATATATATATCTACATGTGTGGCAAGTGCTTGGGACCTCTTTATCCTTACCGCTGGTAGCCAGCTGTCCGGGTCTCGGCGTGTCTCGATGTCGCGGCCCGGCGGAAGAACCACATGAAATGCTCCAAAGTAGAATTTTTTGTTAAAAAAAAATGCCAAAGCGCAGTGTTTACTGGATAATCACTATAATCATCTATAATTAGATGGATTCATCTATAATCATCTATAATCATCTATAGTCATCTATCCTCTACTCAAGACCTGTGGGTTAATGGCTTTAATGGGTCTAGATTTTTTTGGACCCATTGCCATTTGTTCAAGGACCCAAAAAAGCAGAGGTTTCAACCACATCGACCGTTGGACACGGGCATAAATCACTGCGGGGTGAGACGACGGTGCCTTTCAAAGGACTCAAGTTCTATCGCACAATCGTGGCGTCTCCGCAAAAAAAAGGTGTTTTTCCCTCCTGAAATGGATCACTTCCTAATATATGTCTATACACTTCCAGATGTGTCCTGCTTTTCCAAAATGATCTACAAACAGACGATAAAAACCCTGTTCAAAAGCGATTACACTTCAGTTGTTCACAGTTTCTCAAGTTCTATCCGCAGCTAACAAATCGCTCACCGCATCATGACCAGGCGTTGCCATCGCTGCCATAAGGTGTGTGTTGGAAGGTTCAATATATAGTATAGTACATATAGAGTATAGTATCTTATAATATCATATACATAAATATGTACACACATACATGTACGTATGTGTATATATATATATATGTATATATATATATCTATCGAGATACATACAGAAACATATGCAAAGAATTGCAAAATATGTACATGGATCGGACCAAGAAACAAACGAAATTAGGATTTAGCCATGGGAGTGTGGTTGGGGGCATTCAATATCGTTCTTGGTCATTGTGTTGGGTAAAAAAGGGGGCTGGGGCGGCCCGGGGCTACTCTCTGGTAATTTGTTATATAGCTAGTGACCATGGCCATTTAGTTCGTTGATTTATGCCTATTAAAGATGGTGATTTTCCATCGCTATGTTAGTTTACCAGAGGGTACCTCAAATTCCGAGAAACTCCCAGATGTAATCTTACGTTACCCAAAGACTTTGTTTGAACCCCACGATGTTTAATTTGGGAGGTAGCAATTTCAACAGCAATTGAAACCAGCCCCGGGGAGAAAGTTTGAAAGACATCCAGGGTCTGACATTCATGTGATGGGAATTCATGTGATGGAAAAATCAACATGATTTTGCACAGTTTCAAATAACCAAGGCACGGTTCCCAAGATATTGCATGTATGTATATACTTATATTATATATATATATATATTATATATATATTATCATATATTATATTATATATTATATTTTATATATTACATATGTTATATTATATATTATATATTATATATTATATATCATATATCAAATATCATATATCATATATGATATATTATATATTATATATTATATATATTATATATATATTATATATTATATAATATTATATAATATCATATATTATATAATCTATATTCTATATAATATAATATTACCATTATATATTATATGTTATATATTGTATATTATATATTATATTTTATATATTATATATTATATATTATATATTATTGATTATTATTATATATTATATAATATTATACATTATATAATATTATATATTATAAATATTATATATTATATACAGTATTATATTATAAATATGTTCCACACAATCCATGTACGGTCTATGTATCATTACCTACTGTACATGTTCTGGAAAGCCTGCATTAAAATCAACGGAAAAAGAACCAGAACTGCCATGATTTTGCTATAATGTGGGTACAACAATAACAAACCACCCATTTGGGAATAATAAATCATCCCCCAGTCATCACCATTTTTTGGTTGGTGGTTTTTCAACCATTCCCAAATGGGTGGTTTATTGTTGTTTTACCCACACTCAAAACTATCCTCTACCCGGTCATGACGGGATTTACGGAGATTGAATCTTTGCTGCGACCGGCGGTTGGCAAAAACAAAAAACATCGGCGGCTCACGGTAGCTCAACGATGCCTTCCTCAACACAAGCGGTTTCTGTGCGATATTCCTTTGTGCATCTTCAATTTCGAGATTGTCAGTGAAAAATCATCAGTGAATTTCCATGTTTTTGTTTGTGAAATTCCAATTCGGGCTGCTTTGATTCTTCCTGTGGTCATATCCCCCATGTTCCTTGGGTCAATGTCTGAGAGTTTCAGATTCAGGTCCCTCCTCCAATAGATGGCTTGGTTCTATTGGATTCTTTTTCAGGAAGCCCATGGTGGTTTACGACAATCAATAAATCCTGAGGGGGCTCAAAAAAAGAAAAAGTCCGATTCAAAGAAAATTCCGTAGAAAACCCATGGGGTCTCTAGAAAACCAACATATCGATGTGGGTCAAACGATTATTCACCCTAACATGGGACGCTCAAACTTGTTTTTTTTAACTGATTATAAATGAGACAAATAAGGCTATATAGCAGGATAATTCCCCTTACTAACCATCATTCCAGTGAGGGAGAACAGTGAGGTCGTTATAGTTTACCCAGACAAAATGATTTTGAAGCATGAAGCGAAACGATCCGAAAAGAATGTTTTTGGCTTGACGGAGAATTGGCTGTGGATTCAGCCATATTCATTCAACCCATCAAATTGGAAGTTTCAACGAGATTTGTTAACGGAAAAGTGGATATTGGGTAACAGCCAATCTCTCGAAACACAGTTACCATCCCCCATTTTTTTGCGCCCTGAGAATTCACCATTTGGTTGATCGCAAAGCCAAGCCAACCCAACCCATCCGATACCAAGGCGCCGTGTTCAGAGCATTGTTTTTGATGTTTGCTCCAGCAACCATCCTCGGCTGCGGAAACAAGAAACGCGTGTTGCAAGAGAATGCCACAAAAAAAACATAAATTAGGTGCAAAAGTGATCCGATAATTCTCTGGGTGATGAGGATGGATGCTAGAAACAAGAGTGTGGTTTGTTACTTATGTATGTGTATTATATATATATATATATCATATGTAATTATATATATACACAGAGAATATAAACCCCACTATAGGTTACAAATGTATAAATATATATATATATGGGTAAATTATAACAATTCACTAACCTGAAATAAGGCCATTTGGGGATGATTTCCCTTACTAACCATGATTCCAGGGTTCGGGAGAACAGTGAGGTCGTTATAATTTACCCAGATATATATATATATATTATATTATATATATATTATATGCTCAGAAAATTGAGGCGATAGCTGGGGTTATGGAGATCGCCAGCGACTGTCGTGAGAAAACCCGGTGCTCAAGGTGACTGGATGGCAGTGCAGATCCAGTGAACTAAGTAGGTATATAATAACCATAGTCAGTTGGGGCTATATCCCAACAAACACGGGAGATATACGATTCCCATAGTTTTACCCATTAATCTGGGTAAATTATAAGTAGCTATGTAACATTAAGCATGGTCAGTTGGGATATTCCATAGCAAACATAATTCTTTATAGAATGTTATTTCATAGTGATATACCCCCATGTTTGCTGGGACTATACCCCATTCTTCCATATCCCACAGTTTTTCCGCCATAACCATCATAACCCCTGGCCTCCACCCCTGGCCGTAGCCTTCCGACCCATTTTTTCAAGGCGCTCTCGTAGCTGCCGACCACCTTTCCAGTCGCTGCCAGCCTTCTTGATGATCGTCACCAATGGTGCCACATTCAACTGGTATTGATAGTCTCCACCTCAAGGAAACCATGGGAAAATCATGCGATAAACTCATGGAAAAATCATGGAACATATGGGAAATCATGGGAACATATGGGGAAAATCATAGGAAATACATAGGATACTATAGGAAATCCCATGAAAAATGGAGGGACTTTAGCTGGGACAACTACAATTTTTTATGCTTTAACAGTACTTTTAATGGGAAATCAGATGAAAAATATGGGAAAAGATAGGAAATCCGCATGAGAAATGGTGGTTCAAAGCTGAAAAACTATGGGAAAATCATGGAAAATCATAGCAAATCCCCATGAAACATGGAGGTACATATTAGTTGGTAAAACCATATGAAAATATAGGAAAATGGTATCATCAAACATCGCCAGTTCCGGAAATCCAGAAAAAAAAATCTGTGGCTTTGAATGGGGAGATCATCAAATTGATGTACCCCCATTTCCAAATGTGTTCAATGGATTACTGGTTGGTGGTTGAGCCACCTACCCCTCTGAAAAATATGAGTTAGTGAACGTCAGTTGGGATGATGACATTCCCAATATGATGGGAAAGTCATAAAATTTCCATGGTTCCAGTCACCACCAACCAGATGTAGTATGTCCAACAGATTTTCCCATGGATCCGTATTTCCAATGGGAAAAATCCCATGGAAAAGAACCTTGGGCGGCATAGCCACGTTGACAAAAACACAGGAGGAAGGCCCCGTTGGGCCCGAACGATCTGTCAAGCTGGGATCGTCTCAAATCGATCCAAATAGGCTTGAAGAAGATTCAAATTGCTTTACCCTCTGGTAAACTAACATAACTATGGAAAATCACCATTTTTAATGGGTAAATCCACTATAAATCACCATTTTCAATAGCTATGTTAGTTTACCAGAGGGTAAACCAACTTCAAACAAACCATACTTTCCATACAGAAATTGGACAAAAAAAACTGTTGAGGAAAAAAAAAAACACGTTTGAAATGCCTGAATTTGATAGGACAAACCAGCCAGTTTCGAGCAGTTTCCCTGCCATTCCCAGTGTTGAACCTTGCTCTCTAGCTTGAGCTGCACCCCTCAATTTTTTCTGAGGCCAGTGGATTTCAGTGGTTGCACTTAGTGAGTGGTTCGTCAATCTTTAATCACCCATCTTGAACTGAAATAGAGTTTTCAAAGAATCCCCAAATTGAACGATCGTCATCGTCATAGACCAAAGAATCAACGATCCCCAATTGAGGTTAGAGGGTAAACAGCCACATAACTATGGAAAATCATCATGCTATTAATGGCTAAATCAACCTATGGCCATGTTCAATAGCTTTTTGTATGTTTACCAGAGGGTATCTGTCATACATCATATATTTCCCATAAATCACCATAGTTTCCATATATTTCCCATATATTCCCATATATTCCCCAGAGGTTTATGAGGCCCAAAGGAACCCTCCCGGACCCAACCAATGATCTCACCCGAGGTGCTACGGGCCAACGCCAGGGTCTTCCTGGCTTTTCGATACAAATGCGCCAAGGCCTGGGGCAATCGGGAGAGGCCCTGGGCCATCTGTGTGTTTTGCTGAGGTTTGTACATGATATAATTATATATATATATAATTATATAATCATATATATATATATAATTATATAATCATATATATATAATTATATTATATATATATATAATTATATATAAAATTATATATATAGTTATATATATATGATTCTGTATGTATATATATATATATATACATAGACAGTACACACTAAATGATACCACTAGTGTCTTCAACAGGATCATCCAACTGGATCTCACGCTTCGCAGAAAATCCGAGCGGCTCGTCCATGACTACAGATAGAATATGGGGGGCTCCATAAATGATATAATCCCTAAAATAGCTGGTTATAGAATGGAAAACCCTATTGAAATGGATGATTTAGGGATACCCCCATGACTTCGGAAACCTCCATATGGACATCCCTAGAATAGTCAATTGATGAACTCCAAGGGAGGAAAAATCTAAGGGAAAGGCAACATTACCTCCAACAGAATGCGACTGGATCTCCGAAAACATCAACTCGGGATGTGTATCCGGCAGTCGGGTACCCACAAAATGCCAGAAGATTGATGATTAAATATCAAACATGGGCAAATATTGCCAAAAAATGCACCAGAATGCAAAAATAGGGCCAGAAGTACCCCAAAAAGAACCTTGCATTAGAATTGTAAAAAAAATGCCTAGAAAACTTCATGAATATGAGGGCATACCCCAAAAAGTCTGGCAAGCGCATTCCGCAAGGTCCCATATTTCAGAAAAGTTGGTCCGAAATATACAGTATATGCATATATACCATATATTATATACCTCTAAATCCATTGAGGATCATTTTCTCTTTTCTTTTCATGACACCGGCAATGTTATGGGCATTTTGTCCCCTATTTTCATATACCATCTGGTTATTTAACATAGCCATGGAAAATCACCATTTTTAATAGGTAAACCCAGGTAAACCATCTATAAATGGGCCATTTTCCATGGCTATGTTAAATAACCAGAGGGTATGTGTTCCTATATTTTCACGGGTTCATCGTGGTAGACGCCCCGCCCCCATTTTCAGACGCATTTTTCCCGGACCTCGAGAGCGTGCATCATGTTCTGCCCAGAGAGATCGGACAAGTCTTCGCCCAAGCCCATCCTGTCATCAATGGGAGCCACGAAGAAAGGGGGGACTTACCAGGGGTATTCACCACTTAAGGACGATACCTGGATTATACCCTCTGGTAAACATACAAAAAGCTATTGAACATGGCCATAGAAATAGTTAAATAGTTGATATACCCATTAATAACATGGTGATTTTCTAGTTTTATGTGGCTGTTTACCAGAGGGTACCTGGATTTGCCTGGATTTTTGTTGGGCTTCGAAGCTACTCACTGGAATCCACCAATTGTGGCGCCCAGTTTCTCCAATTTGGGGCCTTTGTTTGATCCTGACCGAGCCTTGCAACACGGGGTTCAAGCTACAACTGGGTATTTCAATGTATTTCAATGTACCGTATGGGGAAAAAAAGTGTACTAGCGCTGAACGATGGCACCTGCAGTCAACACCGTTTGACTGGATACAAAAAAGGCACTCTGATAATCTGGGATACCCAAAAAATGGCAGAGTTCATCAGAAAATGAGGATTAATCAGTGAATTTTGGGGTATACCATGTTCAAAGAATCCCCTTTGAAACGATGATCATCTTGATTCGTGAGCCCGTCTTACCTCGGATCTGATTTCCATGTTGACTATACATGATACAATGATCATGATGATTCCTCTTTTAAAATACTCTTATACTGATATCATCGCACCACGTTCTGACATCTTTTTTCCCCTCATCTTTAAATGTCGAACATCATTAATTCGTGAGTTCACTTCCAACAGAAGTCACCCAAGAACTGATAGCCTCTGGTTATTTCATATAGCTATGGATGGCTCATTGATACATGTTGATTCACCTACGTTCCTAGCATGCTGATGTTCCAACCTTTGACCCACCAGGCCTTAAAAGGTCGGGACCATAGTAGAGCATGATCTGAGGTCCCACTGGACTTCCGGCCAGTTCCTGGACCAGCTGTTGGATATCTCCCAAGAGGAGTTCCGTCACCTTGGCCAATCGAGTTGAGCCCATGGGAAAACAGGGACCCCTGGGGCTACCAAGCTGGTGGAACTTTCGAAATTCGACAGAATCAGAATCAGAATCATCATCATCATCATCATCATTGATAATTAATCATTAATAATTAATCACTAATAATCATTAATATAGCCATTAATAGCCATTATATAATAACCATTGATAACCATCATCATCATCATCATCTAGATGATTAAGCTGCAGAAAAAATCCAGCGCTGCGGACCGAAAAGTACAGTACGGGGATGTCTGGCTGAAGCTTTCAAGCCATCTGAAAATAGAATGAATACCCTCTGGTGAACTAACATAGCAATGGAAAATCACCATTTTTAATGGGAAAATCCACTATAAATGGCCATTTTCCATTGCTATGTTAGTTCACCAGAGGGTATGTATGAAACAACCAAATCCACACGTTCCCTTCCTTTCTGCGATGATTTTCGTGTCTCAAATCTTCATTTCTGGGGTCAATTTTTGTTCAATGACAGGGAAAATGATGACGTCCCCAGAGGATGTATCTGGTGTCGTCCCCAGTCTGCCCGCCTTCGCAGGGTTTTTGTAGGTGTTTCTGGTGATGGCCAGTACCCGCAACGTGGCGAGACCGGTTTCATGACAGAACACGATGCTCTTGCCTAGCCGGACATGGTTAGCCCCAAAAGAGCTGTAATTGACATGAATTTACCCATCTATCCCATCTATTCTATCTCATTTAAATTCATGTAGCGTAAATTCAAATGTAGAATTCACTTCTGTAATCCCCATAAAATGTAAATTGCCCTGCTATTTTACTGAGAGTGTACAGTTGTTTCTTTTTCGGAGTGCAAGGGGAAGATTTACCAAACATATGATGGGAATATGATGAAAAACTCCACGGTAAAAAGGGAAAAACATGTGGATCACTATGATCACGGGCATGTTGGTATGCTACTAATACATATCTATCTATCTATCTATCTATCTATCTATCTACCTACCTACCTACCTACCTAACATATAGTTAAATATTAATGCTGGTAAAACAATCATAAACCATCCAAAATTTCACCACTTTTCTAAGTGGTTTTTCAACCATTCCCAGTCATGTGTGGGTAAACACCGCTGGGGTTTGGCAACAATCCCAGCTCGCTGCTCGCGGTACATAAGGTGGAGAAGTCCTTCTCGTAGTCGGGGTAGGACCTGGATGTCCATGGATGTCACTGAAATCACCTGCTGGGTTTGAAGAATGGGAGCGTTACCCTCTGGTAAACGTTTACATAACGAACTGGAAAGATCCACCATGCTATCAAAGGGGTAAATCCACGAACTAAATCACCATTTTCAATAGCAAACTGTAACAAATTACCAGAGGGTACGTCCTTGATCTTCCGTTTCTGCTTGAAGAGGCCCGAATCCTCTAAGAGTGGGCAAAATTCGACTTTTCCTGAATCAGAAATCAACAATTTTTGGGATGATCCCTTCCATTCATCCCCCAGATGTTCGGTGCATTGTGAGCTGGGGATTTTTGTTACCGCCCAAATTGTCACTTCTAACTTGTACCCTCCAGTAATCAAACTTGGCAATGGCAAATCTCCTATTTTCATGAATTTGCTTGATGGTAAAAACACATCTACGTCTATGGTGGATTTTCCATGACCATCCATGACCAGTGGGCTACTCCACTGCCAAGTGTTAGTCTTCTCGCCCAGCGCTGAGGCACTTTTGGAAGTTCGTGTACAAAAAGTTGAAATACAGCGTCCTCCAGACCGCCCAGGTGGCCCAAGAAGGGCCAAGAATACATTGTGATGTCGAATCCGAAGACTCGCAGAAGTTCAAGGATTGGGCGATATCTATATCTATATCTATATCTATGTCTATGTATATAATATATATATATATATACATACATATAATTATATACATATAATATATATATATATATATCATATATATCATGTATATATATATATATATTACATCTGTTGGGAAATGCGTATAAAAGTTCGATTCTTCCCCAACAAAAACACCCACCGAAGTCCCCAGCGTCCTTTCATCGATGTGTGGGTCTTCCAACCTTGGTCGACAGGCAAACGACCTCTGGATGCGACTTGGATTGGTTATAACCAATGAATAATAGAATATAGGTATATGGTTATCTATTATCATCTATAAACTTATCATCTATAACCAACCTATAGTTATCTAGTTATAACCAATCATCTATAAATAGATATAACCATCCTGAAGTAGATAGAATCTCTGGAATTTCAAAAAAAAAACGGTCTGAAAAAAACCTATAGATAGAATCCCAAAATGGCTCAAAAATCCGGGTCGATGATTGGTAAAAAAAAGGTCCCTCAAAAATGATCACAAAAGCGGTCATTTAGCTTGTGATTTGGTTGTTTGGGCCTTTGGAATGACTACCAAATGTTGTCATTATGCTGGTGTATTAGGTTCTGGCATGCGAATTTCAGCCCAAAATCTTCCAAAGAAATTGTCACTGTTGCTGGTGGTTCCCAGAAATATAGATCCTTTGGCAGTGGTATTCAATAGTCAAATCCAAGAAAGGAATGGGTGTGGGTCAAATTATCACACCCCAAAATTGATAGTTGATTTTTTAAGATGTGAAATTTTGAAATTGAGCTGGGGCCAAATTTGACCCGTACCCATTTAGCTACAGTGTGCTCACCGGACCTCCTGGAGATTTTGAATTTGGACATCGATCAAAATCGGATACTTTAAAAAGTAATCTGTATAGAATTGGGTGTAATTGGGACAGAAGGTTTTGATCCATCCCCATATTCTTCTATATTCCTTCATATTCTATCTATGGTATCAACCACTGTGCTGACCCCTCCCTACTGCATTCTGCTAACAACGGCAGGTTTCCAAAAACCATTCCATGTGTTGTAGATTCTTTGGCAATGGTATTTTTGGTTCCCGGGATGCCCAAATAGTCAAACCCAATAAAGGAATGGGTGTGAGTCCAAATATCATCCCTACAAAATTGATAGTTGATTATTTAAGATGTGCAATTTTGTAATTGAGTTGGTGTGCTCACCGGACCTCCTGGAGATTTTGAATTTGGACATCGATCAAAACCAGCTACTTTAAAAAGTAATCTGTATAGAATTGGGTGTAATTGGGACAGAAGGTTTTGATCCATCCCCATATTCTTCTATATTCTTTCATATTCTATCTATGGTATCAACCACTGTGCTGACCCCTCCCTACTGCATTCTGCTAACAACGGCAGGTTTCCAAAAACCATTCCATGTGTTGTAGATTCTTTGGCAATGGTATTTTTGGTTCCCGGGATGCCCAAATAGTCAAACCCAATAAAGGAAAAAAAAATAAAGGAATGGGTGTGGGTAAAATGATCACCCCTACAAAATTGATAATTGATAATTGAAGATGTGCAATTTTGTAATTGAGTTGGTGTGCTCACCGGACCTCCTGGAGATTTTGAATTCGAACGTAGATATAAACTGTTGGATAGTCAAACTCTATATAAGATCATGAACCAACAGTGGTTTTGAATACAGCCCAAAAGGTATTTTCAGAATCCATAAATTATAATACCACTTTGGATAATATATTGATATAGCACATGTTGTTAAATACCACTGGGTATAATCCAATTAAGAAAATTGTCTTTGACAACATGTGATTGTTTTTCCAACCGGGACCTTTTCAGGGATATTCTAACTATAGATCTTGCCAGGGGCTGACAACTCGGCTCCCCCGTAAAGGGAGCATAGCCAAAAAACGTGACGGGATTCCAGAATCCCGTCATCACCCCCCTATGTGGGGGACGCCCCGGAAAGCGACCGAGTGTGCTACTATAGTGTGTAAGGTGCACTCTGTGTGAAATATATGCTTTGTATGTGAATGATATCAAATATGTAGATATAATATGTATGGTGTTTACTATGATTGAAACATATGCTTTATATGTGAATGATATAAAATATGTAAATATAATATGTATGGTTGGATAGTCAAACTCTAGATAGAATATCCTCTAGATCCATGAAAAGACTGAATTTTTAAAGGATGCTTGGAATTAAGCATGTATTTGTGGTGCTCCCTGCCCCTTCCTCCACATCTACCCATCCAAAGTTCATTCTTGGAGCTGTTTGAAAGCAAGCTTTAAAAGGAAAATGGCATTAAAAAAAAGGAATCCGAGATCTCACCATCCAAAGTTGAAATTGCAGGTTTTGAAAAGAAACCACAAAAGGAAAATGGGATGAGAAAAGAAATAATCCACGATCTTACCATTCAAAGTTCAATCTTGCAGGTTTTTGAAAAGAAAGCTGCGAAAGGAAAAGGAGATGAGAAAAGTACAGAAAAGTAGGAATCCAAGATCGACCATCCAAAGTTCATTTGTGCTAGTGCTGTGCTAGGACAGTTGGGCAAAACTATAGATAGAATATCCTCTAGAACCATGAAAAGACTGAATTTTTAAAGGATGCTTGGAGTTGAGCATGTATTTGTGGTGTTCCCTGCCCCTTCCTCCACATCTACCCATCCAAAGTTCATTCTTGGAGCTGTTTGAAAGCAAGCTTTAAAAGGAAAATGGCATTAAAAAAGTAGGAATCCAAGATCTTACCATCCAAAGTTGAAATTGCAGGTTTTTGAAAAGAAGCAACAAAAGGAAAATGGGATGAGAAAAGAAGAAATCCACGATCTTACCATTCAAAGTTCAGTCTTGCAGGTTTTTGAATAGAAAGCCGTGAAAGGAAAAGGAGATGAGAAAAGTATAGAAAAGTAGGAATCCAAGATCGACCATCCAAAGTTCATTTGTGCTAGTACTGTGCTAGGACAGTTGGGCAAAACTATAGATAGAATATCCTCTAGAACCATGAAAAGACTGAATTTTTAAAGGATGTTTGGGATTAAGCATGTATTTGTGGTGCTCCCTGCCCCTTCCTCCACATCTACCCATCCAAAGTTCATTCTTGGAGCTGTTTGAAAGCAACTTTAAAAGGAAAATGGCATTAAAAAAGTAGGAATCCA